AACATAAACGTGTCTTCAAAATATATTTTTGTAGTTCTAATTTGCAACCTAATATAGTGTCACATAATCCGCTCATACCAGCTAGAGAATCAAGGTCACTTTTTTATAGTGGAATGTTTCAGAGATAATTGTAAAGAGGTTTGATATCTTGGACATAGTTCAAGACTGTTGAGAATGTGTTGAGACAGTTTAGATGTGACTCCTGTTACCCTGATGAATGTTTTGATTTAAAGATATGAATTTTAATTAGAAAATAAAATATTTAAAAGATATATGTAAAATGAAATTCTAATACATTAATTTAATCTTCATGGATATAATTAAATGTTCTCAGGTATTTTTCAAAACTAATGAGGGAAAGTGGTATGTTTATTTACAATATTAGGTGAGGTGAAATGGGGTTTAACATCCGGCTTCAGAATACTTCGCCATATGATGACACATTATACTGACTCCGAGCCGACCAGTACTTGTTGTACCCATTAATGCCAAGTGCCAGGCAGGGACCAATAAGTACCATATTTTAACTTCTTTTGGTATGACACGGTCGGGGATCGAACCCGCAACCTTCCGCTCTCTGTGCTCTAACCACTACACCACGGAGGCAGTTGATTATTTATGGCAGTCTGTAAATAATCGAGTCTGGACCAGAAAATCCAGTGACTGACATGAGCATAATTCTAAGTAATTGGGATATAATGCATCAACCCAGTCACCTGCCCACCTGATTCTGATAATCACCTCTTACGACAAGCATAGGTTGCTAAAGACCAATTCTAACCTGGATCTTCATGGGTCAAGGAAAGATGACTTATACAATCAGGTATTTTCAGTGTAACAGGGTAAAGAGGGAGGTCAAATTTACAATTTGCCTCAACTGAAACAGACAGAAAGTGTGACTACTTGCGTCTAAACCTCTGACAGGTTTATTATTAGTGATAGCCCCCTGGCATACCACTCTGTAGATTAACATGGATACCCCACTTGGACAGTGTACATAGACGGATCCAGGTGTGTGTGTGTGTGTTTTGTCCTGTAAGTTTATTAAATGACCATTGAAACTCTTGTGAAAATGGTTGAAAATGAACTGTGCACCCCCTACCCCCCTCCCCTTTCTCAAAAAGCTACATCTGCCCCTGAATGTACTTACTACCAAATGACTAGTTCTTGTCTATCACTTTAGAGGGGTGGTAGGGTAGCCTTGTGGTTAAAGTGTTCGCTGGTCATGCCAAACACCTAGGTTCGATTCCCCACATGAGTACAATGTGTGAAGCCCATTTCTGGTGTCCCCTGCCGTGATGCTGGATAAACTAACTTATTCACTCACTGTCACCTTAGGGACCGTTCATAATTTATGGTTTTTTTTGTTTTTGTTTTTGTTGTTGTTGTTTTTGGGGGAATGATGATGATGATGATGATGATTTTTATGTGGGGACCTAGGGGTCAGCAATTTTGTACATAAAAGTATGTGTAAAATTATGCTTAGAAATTATGGGAAAGGGAGGGGGTAATTGATTTTGTACATGACACACAGGGGTGTCACTTATTTTGTACATTTTTTATTTTTATTTGGGGAGTTCATCCACATTGTACATGCTTCTCCATAAAATCATCATCACCCCTGCTAGCCATATATTATGACTAAAAAAAGTCCAACATTTTAACATCTTTGGGTAGAACACTCTAAGGGATTGAGTGAGTGAGTGAGTATGGTTTTACACCGCTTTTAGCAATATTCCAGCAATATCACAGCGGGGGACACCAGAAATGGGCTTCACACATTGGACCCATGAGGGGAATAGAACCCAGGTCTTCGGCATGATGAGCGAATGCTTTAACCACTAGGCTACCCCAACGCCCCTCTAAGGGATTGAATGACCTTTTGCCTTCTGAGCAGAATCTTTTTCAAACTGAGACTGGTATGTCCTCTAACTGACACAATATAGTGTTGGTCAATATGGGTAAATCCATAGTGTGCTTACAGGCAATATGGTGGCGCTATAAAAAATAAATCTTGATCATACATGAAGCAAACAACAGGAACAAATACATTTTACAGTTGGTTAAAAAATTGGATATTTTACAAATAATCAACAATCAAAAATGATAAGAAACAATAAGGAAAGGTGATGAAGGCATGTGTGCAAAATTATTTTGAATGGGAAATATATGACGCAACAGTTTTTGTAGGCTTCACCTATGGCAATCATGTGGAGATGAGGTGAGAACCAACAAAGGGACACCACTCTTCCCCCATTCCCCCCCCATAAGTGCTCTGTTCGTTGTTAATGCCAACAGTAATCTGACTGTTATGTGTTGGCAGTCTATAAATAATTGAGTCTGGACCAGATGATCTAGTGACTGATATCAAGATCATCGACCTACCTAACTGGGATATTGTGACATGCATCAAATGTGTGAGTCACCCAGTCCCATTCCATTACTTGAAAATCTTACAACAAGCATTGGTTGCTGAAGATCTTTTCCATACTTGAGTAAGGGACAAACCTCTTCCCCAGCCTACAGGCATGTGTTATAGTCATGAGGCAGATTTGTGGCTTTTCTTGTCAAATCAATATCAACTTTATAAAGTAACATAACAAAATTGATTTTTCAAGTGTGACACAAACACATATGTGAACTTTTCTTGGTTATGAGATAAAAAATCATACAATTTGACATAAAAAAAAAACATGAAATTTCTCCTGACTACAGTGCTTGTCAAACACAATACCTGACCTTAAGATGTTGGGCATAGGTAGTTCTGGTTTAAGTGCTATACAACATGAATGAAATAATTCCTTCTTGTGATATACATACATGTACATTATTTCCTCTCTAAATTCAAAATTCAGGGTTATGTCCTGTTTATCAGACTGAGTGACCTGAAAAGTCACATTTCCATGTGTGATGCCCCTCAAAAAGAAAAAATAATATATCTATTACATATTTTCTTGCATAATGTTCACAATCTTACACCACAACCATACTTCCTTTAAGGCAGTGTGAAAGTAATTCTGACAAAGTGATATTTAAAACAAGTGAAGCATGGACTGTATATTTGAGATAAATACATTTACAGTATTTTAGCACTAAACTCTCAATCACAAGATTGAGATGATTTTGATTCTTGTGAGAGGGAAGATATTTTTCAATTCTATTTTCAGTTGGCATATATTTCTGAACCATAATAACTCACCTTGGTGAGAGTATCACGTATTGCCTCCTGTTATTGTTCTATACAATGACATCAGGGCTTACTGTGTATTCAGTTTACAGAGAGCGCGCCTTCTGTCAGATGATGTGATATTACCTGCAACACATTCTGTAAGTACTGAGATTCTTCCTCAAATTCCCTGCTAGTAATCACAAAACTCGAATGAAAGAAGGTCTTAAACGATGCAAACTGAACTAAAAAGAGTGTTTGCGTGATATTTTTATGAAACTGTGTGCTCAATTTTAAGACAAAAAATGCTTCCCCAAAGTATTCCTGATTCTTCTCCTTTATGTTCACTATGTACAGAACAAAGTCACATTCAATGTGATCGGAACACAGTTTACTATTACCAGTTTTTTATTAGAAAGAAGAATTACCTATCCACAATTAACAAATTTTATTCTTGCTAGAAAATATTAAGTACCCATGTTTCAATGTCGTGAGTGAGCTGGATTTATTCCACTTATATCACAGCGTGTCAGCTTAATCAGGGACGAAAGGCTGAAGTGATGCCAACCTTAAACATTTATCACTTTGGTGGGACCAGAGACCATATTATATAGTATATGGTTTCTGGTGGGACCCACCAATATGGTGCTGACATACCTAGAGACATACTCTCGATGAACCCGGGGATTTGAACTATTAACACAGCATGTCAAGGGAAGCAACTCTCGACAGTGTAATGTAGCAGTGTTATTCATTGTGTAAAGAGTAATAAATAGTAAATGTTGAGACACAGTAAGGGGCAGTGTTGTGCTATATTTAGACTTGTGCTATATTTAAAAAGAGTTCTGGAAGGAACTACACAGTACACAGTAAGGGGAGCTAACTCTCAACATCTACCATTACATCTCAAGTTACAAGACGACAGCATTGTGTGGAGATCATTCTTACCCTGTGTACCTATTTTAAACTTGACCATTGTTGCAATGGGAGGAATATTACCATATCTGTCTTTATTGCTATCATCACTGCTTTAATGTTACACTGCATTTGAGTATGTACTGCCACTCTTATTTGTACTGCCGCCTTATAACTGGAATATTGCTGAGTGCGGCGTAAAACTAAACTCACTCACACTATTTTGTACTGCCACTGTAATACCTTTGTATTGATTTGCATTAATTTGAAAACTTGGTTAATTTTAGATTACAGTTGTTAATTACATCCCATCTATTTGCTTGCTGGTTTCACACTGAGTTCGTTTAAAAACTGATTAATGGTTAACTTTTAGCTTTAACTTTGGGATCAACACTTAAAAAACAGTTAATTGCAGCAGATACCATATGATAGATTTTTATCATATGGTCTCTAATTGCAGCAGCCCTTAGATGACTGGGTGGCCAATGCACCAGCTTCAACAAACCTTCAAGAACAAGCAGCTGGTTCACTTCAGCCATTGCCTAAAACATTTCTACCTTTAAAAACGTTTTACAATCAGTATGGGGCATTTGACTTATTCGTACAATAATCAAAGTCACAAAACACAGGATAAAATAATGTTGATATGTGTTAGCTCTGAATTGAGACTTTGAAGAAAACATACCAAATACCCTCAAAAACAAAGAGAAACCTTCAAAATAAAGCTGATTCTGAACAACCTGTATCCTGAGGTGATGATATCTAATGAGCTACAAACCCCCCTTACCTCTAACAATGCAAACATCTATAACAACAGTGAATTTAATTATCAACTATCACAGGTAGATGGAATGTAACAAATAACATAAAAGAAGCAGGATATGGGTCCGGTGTCATCTATACCACTCAAAATAAGTTAGGGGTTACTGACCCTTTAATATTACTATCTGTCCATGTAATATCTATCCATGTAAATACAATTATATTTAAGAATCTAGGGTTCCTTCACTTATTTTGAGCAGTATATTCTGTTGATCATGTTTGACTGGCCTTTTTCTTGTTTGGAAAGCATTGCTCTTGGAATGTTTGTGAAGCTTTGAGTGCTGCTTGAATTTCTTCTTGACTAAGGAGATTACTTAAACTCAGTCCTATGACAAGTTCCTCTCGAGCATTCCCTGCAAAATGATTGGCTAGAAAAGCAGGAAATCCTCGTAAGCCATCCCCCATTGTAAACAGAGGTGGTCTGACGATACCGTATGTCTGAAACAGATGGAACATATTGATCATGTGAATGCTTCCTGGTTTTCGTCATTAATTGTGTCAAGGTAACAGCTTTCTCGGGGAATACTACAACTTGATGTCAAATACTTCATCACCAGAGGGGCGATGGAGTAGCCTTGTGACTTAGGTTTTACATTGCTTTTGGCAATATTCCAGCAATGTCACGGTGGGGGACACCAGAAATGGGCTTCACACATTGTGCCCTAGTGGGGAATCAAACCCAGGTCTTCAGTGTGATGAGCAAACGCTTTAACCACTAGGCTACCCCACCGCACACAACATAATGGAACAACATTTTGGTACAATGTAACTATACAACATTATGGTACAACATATTGGTACAACACCATGATTGTAATGGAAGACTAGGTCAGACACTGACTTAAGTATGTTGATTCTCAAAACAATGGTAATCTGTACATGCTTTGTGCAAGAATTCCAATATGGACATTTGTTAGCTGGATTCACCTGATGTATTCCATCTCTTTAAGGGAGACGTCATTGCAACAAAGTGCTACACGTACCTCAATACCATACTCTGGAGCCTGTAGATTCTGAATCTCAAGTGCCTTGAACTCTTCCAAGGAGACCTCCTTTTTGTAGAAGTGTAACACTAGTGACTTGTCCTCATTGAGAAAAGACACAACATGATCCTGGTCTGTGAACCTGTGACTCGTCAAGTCAAGGCAGATCTCTTCCTCCATTTCCCTGTTCAGTCCGCAGACTGGGTCTTCCCCCCTTCTCAACTAGACCGCCTGGGAAGCCTATAACACCATCGAACCTCATCTGCATCTGAAATGAAGGCTTCAGTTGATGGGACGTGACCATTATGCATGTTTCCTGTATCCATGGAGTGAAACATTTTATGAGACAGATATTTTAAAAATATAGATAATTTCATATACCTGTCAGGGCTGTGGGGTAGCCCAATGGTTCAAGCATCCGCTTGTCACGTTGAAGACCCAGGTTTGATTCCCATCATGGGATGCTAATAGCGACGTAAACCTAAACACACTCACTCATTTAGCTTGTGTTTATTCCACAAATAGATGGGTTAGTGTTCCTTCTACTGAGCTAGGTGTACTGATTAACTACCAAATTCAAAATTTACTATTGAAGCATAGAGAGTCATCACTCCCAATCGTAACAGTTTAGCATAAACATACCATGAATTGTTATTCATAGAAACATTTTGACCACACATGGAAGGAGCTTTCATCTGTAAGCAAATATAATATTTTTGATTTTGATATCAATGTAATGTTTCCCTCAAATATTCACCAGAATTCCACTATTATATTACAGAGTACTATGTCACACAACATGATTATAATGCAATTATGTCATATTGAGTCACACAATAAGGTTGAATGCAGTGATGTCATATGTACAGTACTATGATGTATCTCAACAAGGCTACAACGCACTGATGATACATCATTATGATGTCATACTGTACTATGCCACACAACAATGATACAGCGCAGTGATGTCATACAGTACTGTGATGTTATACAATACTATGATGACACTCAACAGTGTTACAACGCAGTGATGTCATACACACAATGTTTGTTTGTTTTACACCGCAGTTAGCAATATTTATGCTATATAGCATCAGAGTACTATGATGTGATACCATGATACAGTACTAAGATGCCACATAGTATTGACTGGTTATCACGATCTCAAATCCACTGTGAAATGGAGGCGAGCTGAAAATAGTGTAATTGTATTTTTCCAATAAAGTAAATTACATTTTCTGACTACATTACAGGGCAAACATAAATCTTTAAAATGCACAACTTGAGAGCATTACTAACTTAGGTTAGGTAGGTTTATCCGTTTTTTCTTTTTAAGTTTATTTTTATAGAATGTATGCTATAAAGTAACTCTAACAATGCAGAAGGTGCGCACGTAAAACGCATGACTCAATATCATTCTTACAAGAACAGCTCCTCGTGCTTTATATAGATCCCAAAGCACTTTGTCATCTCTTGCAAATAGCATTCCGTGAGAGGCATGAGTAAATGAAGAGTATTTTGTTTTGGCTTCTGAATACTCAATAGTTTTGAAAGTGTCTTTGGTATCACCAAGTCGTCCAAATTTCTCATATGGAGCAAGCCAACCCCAGTTATTTTCTTCCATCTTTCACTGAGCTGAGGACGAAATGACCTAAAAAAACAAAACAATGGCCACGTTTACAGTTAGAGTTATGTCCCTTGTTCATCGAGCCCTGGTTGGATTTTTCAAAACTCCTATTTAATAAATGCTGGTTAACATGTATAGTATTTTAACTGAAATTATGTATATGCATAAATTAATTGCTTTTGAGGAAAGCTTAGACTAAGCTAAGACGTTTTAAAGTGCAGTGAAAAGAATCATCATTTTTGCATAATTGCTCAAACCGGACCAGACCGAATAAAGTTGTTATGGGTAACAATAACAATGGACCATTTGATCGGTTTCTGTTATACGGGATATTTCCTTTGCTTTTGAAGAATCATATTACATATAATGCAAGAAGAGCGTTTTGTCTATGTATTATGCCTAATGTCCACAATTAGAGAGATTTGCAATCGCAGAAGCCATATTGAAAATGTACGTCACCTTTGCCTGTGAACATTATTCTAAACATTTAGCATGTATAATTATACGGTAATGGAGTCATGGGTTGATAAGATATCAACAAACTCTCACAAGTGTTACAAATTGACAGGCAAAAAACGGCACCAGATCAGTTATTGGGCGCGTGGTCCTGTGCACAGAGCTCAGGTCACGAATCAGTTGAAGCAGGGATACTCTACTCTATAGAGTCTCCCTGGTTGAAGTTAAGCAACGTCGAGCTCGGACAGTCCTTGTATGGTCGACCGTGCTTGGCAGCTTGACTCCTGAGAGTTTCTAGGACTTCAGTCCTGCCCCACAACGAAGCGCATGTGATACATGTGGTCTCACCTTAGGCAAGTGAGTTTGTTCAAATTGCCTCTGTTCACCCAGCCGAAAATGGGTACCCGGTTGGATAAAGTCATGTGAACCTAACCTTTTAGCGCCTAACAGGCAGCTTGGGTTATCCGGGGTAATAAGAATCAGATTCTGATTAAGCGCCGCGAGCAATCACTTGGTGTTTGGAAACGTGCGCTATAGAATATGACTTATTATTTATTACATATGGTTTACGCGCATATATAACAAAACATGCTTATGTGAATACCAATCCGGGTAACAGGTTGGCTGGGTCATAACGTATGCATTGTAGAGGATAGTGCTGAACATACTGTACAACTGTACATATGAAGCCAATATTTTGAGTGGGTGAGTAATTTTAGTTTTGACACCGTTTTTAGCAATATTCCAGCAATATCACGACAGGGGTCATCAGAAATGGGCTTTACACATTGTACCCATGTGGGGAATCGAACCCGGATGCTCAGCATGACGAGCGAACGCATTAATCCCTATGCTGCCCATCGCCCCCAATATTTTGAAATAAGTGGTGTCTGTGAAAATTACAACAGTGCAGTTAAGCTTTCAATATGAATATAATTACCAAAATATTTTGCTTTTGGCAATGAAGTCGTGAACTGCTTGAAGGATGTCGGACTATTGCGTGAACAATTGTCATGAAATATTGATTTTAGGTAATACCCATGTATGGTTGACACTACGGGTGAGCCTCAGATCTGGCGGTACACTGACTCAGCCAATGACTGGCCTTCTCCACGACAAGTTGTTTAGATCTTTCCTTTGAATGGATTTTCATTAAAATGTTAGTTGGTCAATATTGGAAACAATACTTTCATTTAGCACGACATATAATCATCGTAATACAAAGCAAGAAGTGACGCTGGTTTTAGTTTTAGCAAAGGCAAACTATCAGATAACTACAGAGAACGATAGTCAAGAGCCATATGTGTCTTTTCGGAAGCTAAAACACCACAACCTTGAGCTATTTTCCGTTATCGCTTTCTGGGTTAGAATTCGAAACGTCCGGATTATAGACTGTCATCACATGATAACACTAAACGCAAAATGGCGTCGTCAAGATGGTGTGTGATGTTGCTAACTATCGCTCTTGTGCATTGTTTTGTTTCTGTTGGTTGCACGACTGAGACATGTTCTGGCGATGACGGCAGCAAATGTGACAGTGAAGAAAAAAAGGACTGTGGTTGTTCTAAGAGCAGACAACACTCAGAATCAAAGTCATCAAATTCAGAGGGCGTGCAAGCAGACGACGCAAAGAAGAAATATCACCCCCAAAGCAACATTAAGAGTCCATACAAGAGAACAAATAAGATGGTTCCCATACCAGGAGGCACATTTACAATGGGCACTGACAAACCCGTATTTCAAGCAGACGGCGAAGGTCCTGCCAGGAGGGTCAAGGTTGATGCATTTTATCTTGATAAGTATGAAGTGAGCAACGCAGAGTTCGAACTGTTCGTGGACCACACTGGATATAAAACTGAGGTAACTATGTTTGAAATTTTCGTGTTTTTAACCCGAATTAGTGAGTGAGAATGGTGGGTTACATTGCTTTTAGCAATATTCCAGCAATATCACTGCCTAGGACACGAGAAATGGGCTTCGCACCTTGTACCCATGTGGGGAGTCAAACACGGCTTTGACATGATGAGCGAACACTTTAACCACTAGGCTACCCCACTGCACCATTTCCCGAAATGAAAACACGACAGCTTTTACTTTGCTTTTTTAACGAATTGAAAGCAAAGACATCTCTCATGTACTATTGTCAATATATCCCAGAGTCAGGGGGTTTTCCACGATGTAAGACAAAAACGCAATTTTTATCTTTAATATCATTTAAAGGTTTTATTTTACTAACCTTGAGTGATAAAGGATATATTCATCAATTTCACACAAAAATATCAAGTGTTTCCTACAAGAATAGGTTTGATGACATCGTATCAGGTATTTTGTATGGGTTTTCGATGATGAGCCATACTTATCGCTCCATGCTGCAAGGGAGTGTTGTGTTCACGTGGCTTCCTATTTATATATTGCTTGTCACTAGCAGACAACTGATCTTACTGAAATTTCGCTTGCTGTTTTTAGTTATATTGGCAATTGATTTTGCATCTGAAGTGGTATTAATTATCTCCGGTAAATAACATGTTGTTAGTTTGCTTTTTATATAACTTAACTTCCGAATTTCCATTGTCAATAAAACTTCTCACAACAGCGACTGGACATCCGCCCTACCAATTAAACTGCATGTGCACTCCGATCGCACACATACTCCCCCCGATACAGCGTGAGTAATGCAATCATCGAAATCACCAGAACGTCGAATTCAGCTCGCTTTGGGATATATCTTCTCCCTCTTACTGGACTTAAAATCCTCTTTATATATAGACATTTGTCATTTACTGATATTCTATTTAAGCTGTCATAGCCATGTAAATGTCAAACAGTCAGGATAAATGTTTAATTTTTTAGATTCCCTTATGGCTCAAGACATTCCGTGTATTCTGCTAAACTTACACTATATGTAGGGTCAGGGTAGCACAGTGGTTAAAGGGGAAGTGTACACGAAAATTAACCTTTTTGTCTTCCACTTTTTCATCATGAGAAATGTTTGTCAAGTTGTTTTATAGCCAAAACAACACAGATATCAGAAGTAACTAATTTATTTTTTGCGTTATACCAATTCAAAGGTTCCACATTAACCGAATGTTCTATGTCCACAATGAACACACCATGACTTATGTCCCTTGGAAATGACGTCATTGGTGCCCAAATGATAAATGAATGACGTCGTTAGACCTTATTAGAACCATTTCACGTAGTGCAGGTATAGGTGTGGTTCTTGTGTCTCGATGCGCAGGCTACTGTTTTAATCCACCTGTTGCCTGGCCGTCAGCTGGCTATGTGGTTGGTTCCACACCAGCTGTTACATTGTACAAAAAGTGTTACCACTTAACCAAATTGTATAACATTCAACCTGAGTGGGTGGTCTTTCCAATCAACTTCTTTCACCAAAACTCGAACTTACATATGCACAGCATGCCATCGGTGAATGTGAAGGCATTCAACGTTTGGTACATTCCTACATTTAAATCGTACAATATATGTCCGTCCTCTTCAACCTTCACATTGATGCCGAAACCATATCCAAAAACATCACAAAGATGTCCCCAGCTTCAACTTTGCATCACTAAAGTTAGGTAAAAGAGTACTCATTTTATTATTTTCTAGGCCCACTAGTAATGCTTTCTTCACAATTTGACAGTACATCAATTATCCTGTTTTTGAATGACACTTGTTTTCTAAAAGCCATATTGACCATAATAAAGAGAGATGTGTTTTTATAAAAAAATATCCTGCCAACTTAACGATGTTCACCATGCAGCTATGGAGCATCTCAGTTTTTAACATTCCTGTCATGACAAGGACCCTTGGACTATATTTTATCTCTGTTAGATTCTGTATGATTTAGTTTGAATATGAAAACAACTCTTCCCATAACTTCCCTGCAATACTCTACATGAAATGTGGTTAAAAGGGGAAGTCAGTTTTGATAGTTGTTTGCGTTGGGTTTAAGGCCTGTTAAGTCACTTTTGTGTAATTGTAAACATGTACACTTACTGACTGACTGAGTTTGGTTTTACGCCGCTTTTAGCAATATTCCAGCAACATCACGGCTGGGGACACCAGAAATGGACTTCACACATTGTACCCATGTGGAGATTCGAACCCGGGTCTTCGGCGTGACGAGCCAATGCACTGACGAGCCAACATACTTGGTTAATGTAGTTTGGATGCTTTAACCACTAGGCTACCCCACCGCCCGTAAACATGTAAAACATACTTGGTTAATGTAGTTTGGATGATATCTCATGCATGACAAGTGTTGCGAGACGAGACAGTAGGAAACTCACTTCAGCAGTTTGGCTATTGACTCTTGATCAAACATAATGTATGGCCATATATCATCATATGCCTTAAATAACTTAGAGTCAGTCAATGTAACAGGTAATAACATATTACTTCACTTGCAGGTATAAAGATGAGGTGGTGGTTGTCAAGTGTCGACAAGCATGAACAGTGTTTTTTGCTTGTTCTCTGCTCAATAAACACAAGTCATTTGTGTTGATAAATTACATTAATGCATGTTGGACCAATGAATTATAAATGTGTCTCCAACTCACACTTGGACGTACCCTACCCTGTTATATGTGCATTATCTTATCTGTAAAATATTTAGAATATTTGTGATTATATTCAGGTAGAGTCAGGCCGCGTTAATCTGAAGAGTGCCGTTTTTCATACAAAATGTTCTGATAGTAAAACGTTCAGTTCGCTGAAACAAGTCCAGTACACCACACTGCAGTAGAGTTACTTCCCTTTCACTTGACTGATAGAGACAGAAAAACGTATACATGTATCAACTGACTTTATTACACATTACAACTTGGATATTTAAATAATAAAACAACAAAATTATTGCACAAAATAAATTCACATTGATGTAAAAAAACACGCCAAGACGAGTTTGTTTTGAAAGTCCCTTGAAAGAGTCGCACATGTTGACGACGGTTTCCAAGTTTTTGTCAAGTTTTTTGCCGACACACCCGTCTCATCGAGGAATCAACAATTGATCTGTTTATATAGTAAACGAGATTGGTTACAGCTTGAGTCTGTTCGGATGGCGCGGGAATCCGATTATCGGGGACCGGACTAACGCGGCCTGACCGTCTATGACCTCATGATTGTTCGAGACATTTACCATTTGCCATCATGTTTATTTCATGACCTTAGCATTCTTATCAAACTGGGCTGTTGTTATCATTAGTTTGTTGCCTGTTAAGACATACCATTTAAGATAAGATTCCTCAATTCCTACACATATATTTCAAAACTATTTCCAGAGAAAATGATCTGTTTTCACTGTATAGTGTAGGATAGACTTTTTGCAATGTTTTCATGGTGTGGTGACATGTGTTTGTAAATGTGAAATAGAATAGACACACCTGCACATGATGTTACACATTCACTTCAAACATTATAGAAGACATGCATAAAGAAAGGTGGTAATTTTTTAAATATTGTAAGTAAAATGAAAATAAAACATTTTGATCCATTTTATATATTTTTTAATAATGAAAAAGCAGCAGTTTGCAGCAAACAGCTACTTGGACATTTACCAAAAATATTACTGAGTAACTTTCCAAAGGTAATCTGTATGTTGGGCATAAGCCTGGTCAGTGAATGATAGATATACTATCTGCAACTCTCGCCAATATTTTGAAACCTGGTTCATGTAAAATGTCTTTCAGACAAGTAAACTTTGCTTAAAGACTTCTATGTATTAAATCTGAAATCAACCAGAAATGATCTCAAGTGACAATAGTGATGAGTTTAAGCTAATGGACACAATGGTTTATGGCACATAATTATGTTTTGTTCCATTGTAGAGTTACCTGTGATATACAGAAATATTAAGGCTGTAACGATTCACTCGCATATTCGGTGAATCGAACCGTAGCCCTTCATGAATTCAATTCGTTATTCTTGGTCACCAGAACCGAATATTAACAAATATTTATGATTTTTTTAAGGGAGCATGTTTTACTTGAACCCTTATGTCCTTTTCCAAAGTGAGATATGCAAGAATGGAGCATGTACTAGCATTGCAGTAGTGCAAGTCATGTTAGTTTGCCAAGGCAGCGCATGGTACTGTCGACTATTACTATTACATACCAAATTTGAGTGTCATGAGATCACTGGTTATTGCTGTGACAAATCAAAACTGTCAACATGGGCGTTCCATATTGTGCATCAATCACTTAACTACAATATTGTATTCGTGAATAATTATTCGTATTCGTTACCCAATATTCATGATACGTATCATATTCGCCTCATAGTGTATTCGTTGAAGCCCTAAGAAATATCACACTGTTATATGATACCTACAGTTCTCCATGCTAAGTGCTAGTCCTAGATGCTTAAAGCTGCACACCAAAGCAATTTTGGCCAATTAAAATATTTAGGACAAAGATGTATCACTAAACTTGGACTCTATCTATCTAAAGTATTCACTATAAAATCATCTTCGGAAGCTTAAACTTAGTGCATGCAGGATAATATTTTTTAATTTATCATGTATTATATTGCCATTTTACAGAATAAGTCTGTCTGTCTGTCATTCTCCATGCTGAGGTACTCAGCAAATGTGGAATGAAAGTCTTCTTTACTTTCTACATAGATGTTAGAATCTCATCTAATATATTTAAATTCTTAAACTGACCTGTCAATGACTGTCATCAGAAAATTTGGGAAAAGTCTAAAAACTGAACTTGTTACATGCAACAGGTTGATAACATAGTAAACAGACCATGACTATGACAATGAAGCTTCATACAAAACAGCCTCAGCAATAATGGGACATAATGTATATATTACCCACAATAACAAAGGGTGATTATGATCGAGACAATATATTGATGTTACAGCATAGTATATGGCTGTATTGCCATCTGGGATATATACATCCACAGATCTATTGATCTAATTATTTTAAGAAATAATGCTTGGCTAAGTGGGAAAGGTTTCATTTGTTGTTGCAAGCTGTTGCTATTTGATTTTATCAAATATTAATGGTGAGAGATAAACTGTTTGTGTTTTGAATTTGTGGATATTGAGTATTTCAATGTGGAATTTTGACACTTGTTCGTTTCCTGGAACCATATATTGAATAATATGATATTTACAGTTGTTTTGTACCACATGATCACTGATGAGTGTTGAGTGGTGACTGTTTTAACATTTATTGTCTGTTTAGTAACAACTCCATTGTTATCCATGCCGAAGACCGTGTTTCGATTCCCCACATGGGTACAATGTGTGAAACCCATTTCTGGTGTCCCCCGCCGTGGAACATTGCTAAAAGAGATGTAAAACCAAATTCACTCACCCCATTGTTATCTCTTACATCATCCTGTATGTGATGAATTTGAAACGATTAAAGATGGAACAAAGTGTAGTATTTAATTACAAGTATAATGGTCTATTATTTTTCATAGGGTTTTGCTTAACTCATGTTCTTGCATTTTCATCAAAGGAAATGATATAGTCAGACAATAAATTCGTTTTTTTTTGTAAGGCTACGCATCAGAACCGGTTTACCGGCTTTTACTGGTTCAGACATGAAATCGGTATGTATTGCGATACGCTGATCGAAAACCGGTATTTCGACATGCATTCAGAAAACTTCGTAACACTCGGAAACCTTCGGATATTTCCGTTTTCCACACCAGAAGTCAAGTTAAGTTCGGATTGAAGTTGTGTTCTTAATTTTTGTTGAAGTGTTTCGCAATGTTTTGGATCTGAATGTTTAGATATATACTCATTAACGACCAGTGATCTCTGATATGTCCTGACCAGGTCAAGTTGCTGTCTAAAATCTCAGGGCTTTTTTTTTTTTGAGAGTGGATTAACTAGTTCAAACTAATAACCACTGTGTTGATGTTAAATTGTTCTTTTCCTTGTTTCATTTGTGCCAAATATGATATATTTTGTCATGATTAAAAGTTTTTATTAAAGCTTAATCAAGCATCGTGATTTTGTTGTGTCTTTGCTTATAAATCAAGCATTAACCTGATTATAAATAGTTTTTTGTTAGAAAAAAGATTCATGCAATATATAGAGAATACTACACAAGGTCTCATTACATACGAATTATACGAAACGAGTGTCCTTCCTGTGGTATCTGACCGAGCGAAAGCGAGGTCGGATAACATAGGAAGGTCACGAAGTTCTCAGATAATTCGTGATGTAATGAGACCGAAAGTGTGGTATTTTATTTATTACCCACGCCTTACATACATTAAATTGACAAAATAGCATATTTTTGTTATTTTTATGGCTTCAAACCGAAACCGGTTTCATAAAGAGGTTATGGAAGAATTTTGTACTGTAGTACAATATTTGCATGACGCCACACTGTAATGACGCCACTGCCTTGGTAAACAACGCCATGATGCATGTCAGTTGTCATCACTCGATACAGCCTCATACAGTAAACTACTCCGTGAAAGCACCCCGCTTCTTGGTTTGCAGTTGCTTCATTCGGCTAACATCACTGGTGGAAACATTGGCGATATGTTTTTCGACGGATATAATGTCTCAGTTTGACTCACAATTAAACAGCGACACGGCAACGTTCGCAATGTTTACATTCCCACAATGCATCTAAGTTGTAGAATGAATGAATTCACGTGTTTGTTATGAATGAAGAAATAGTTACGTCAGAATGTGACCTAACTGAGAGGTCATCGGTTATCCAATCAAATCGTTAGAATCTCAGGTCAAGTCGTTACAACACAGGTCAACGCGATACGACACTCGTGTGACGTACGAGATTAGTATGCAACTACCCATACGTTGACCACGTGGGTAATAAATTGCAATACATATTGCAATATATGCTTTTGCATCGCAATATATTGCAATATGAAAAATCTCTGCAATACCCACTCCTAGTTTGGGGGGGGGTTAACACTAACAGCTGCATGATAGACTTTGTCCTTACTTCACAGGTGTTATGCACAATAAAGAGGACATTGAGAAATATTGACAATGCATACCAAGAGTCCTAGATAATACATATGGACATAGATTAATTAAAATCAATTCAGTGCTTTTGTGGTAAAAAGTGTACATAACGTTTTGTATAGCTATCACAACAGCTGTAGAAGAATATGAAAATCTCCTTCAGGTAACGGATCGCGCTCCTCACACACCAGACTGTGGAGTTCCTGAGCAGTTTGATAATATCAGTTGTCTTGACAAGTCTCTGTGAAATATGCATGTATCTATAGGTTGTAGGGGTGGGTATTGCAGAGAATTTTCATATTGCGATATATTGCGATGCGGAAGCATATATTGCGATATGTATTGCAATATATTGCAAGAATTATTTTTTTAACAAAAACAATTTATAATCGAGTTAATGATTGATTCTAAAGCAAAAACACAACAAAATCACTATGATTGATTAACCTTTAATAAAAGCTTTTAATCATGACAAAATAAAAATGTAAATAACATTTGGCACTAATGAAACAGGGAAAAGAACAATTAAAAAACCCAGAAATATCCAAAGATTTCCGAGTGTTATGAAGTTTTCCGAATGCATGTCAAAATACCGGTTTTCGATCGGCGTATCGCAATACATATCGTTTTCATATCTGAACCGGTAAATACCGGTAAACCGGTTATATTGCGCAGCCATAGGTTGTATTAAATAATGAAAAAAAAATGGTGTAAAAAATATTCATGGAAATATATTTTTTAATGAAAGCTTGAATCTATATAGAATAAAATATTTCTTAACATATCAAAGCAGGGTTCTGACTTAATGTGTCAACCGTGTGACAGACTGCCCAGATGTATCAATGTTCTCTTTTGCATTCAGTATTTATTATTGACAGATGATGATTAGCTTTAAGAATATCTAGTATTGTAACATTTAAACTGTATAAGTTTTATGAATTTTGGTCTGGCATAGGGAAAAACAGGGATTCCATACAACATTTATAAATTCCCATGGCTAAGCTAACGTTGTTGTAAGGAAAGAACTGTAGTCTTTTCTCAGGTGAAACTCATCTCCATTTTTCCTGATGCTTACATATAGAAATGTTATTATCAAACTATGATCTTCAACCTTCACATGATGTAATACTGGTAGAGTCTTTTTAGTTTTGACTTTCCTCAGAAACTGGAAGGGAGAAATTGGGAGCTGAAATGAACCCAGACATTGCAGAATCCTTACAGTATTCTTAACAATTTTAAACATTTATGTTTCAAAATTCAGGTGAACTTTAGAGCCCTTATGGTATAACAGAAGTCTATTATGTTAATTCTTCATTATGAATAGTGTCTTATACCCTGTGTCTTTGACTACATCATACATAATATCAGATATGTATGTTGTTTCAGGCTGAGGGTTTCGGTAATTCTTTTGTAATGGACAAATATCTCAGCGAGGAAGAACTAGGAAAGATTACACAAGCTGTAAGTATTAACTGTGTTGGAGGCAGTAGTTAATGAGACCAATGTCTTTCCACAGATGACTGGCCATTGAGGGGATAATGAGATTTGTGTTTTTAACAGATACATGGAGGGCTACTTACATTACATCAGCTTATAAATTATCAATGCTGGATGTTTCTTTTTGTAAAGAAACCTCATTGTATGCACTCTTCAATTATATAAAATAAAAGGAAAATTATATTTGCAAAATTCTGAGTGTAGCGCCAATGAAAGAAAAGGTAAATACCAGTCAAATTACATTGCATATCTTTGTGTATTCTATGATGGAAGATCTGTCAAGGCCAGAGCTGAAATAATTTGATAAGAGGTCAGCAGTTTGATAAATGAGAATTGGGCCCTGTTTCACAAAGCTATAGTAGTGCTACTGTCGTAAGTCTGTGTTACAGTATAGGAGGTACGACAGTCGTAGCGCTGAGATAGCTTTGTGAAAGAAGGCCCTGATCTCTATGTTTGACCACATGTACAGGTGGCTGCAGCTCCCTGGTGGCTGCCAGTAGAGGGCTCTGACTGGAGGCATCCTGAAGGACCAAAAACGTCTATAAAAGAGCGGTAATGTTTTTCTCAGTAGTTCTTGAAAAATTATTTTCTTGAATACTGAAGTGATAGTATGATTAAAATTTTGAATAAACAAGGTATAGTCATTATTCTTATTGAAATAGTTAAAATTAGCATAGATTTTATTGACAAAAGTATTTATTTCTATTTGAAACATACCATTGTTTGTCCATTGATTGCAGTATATTGGGGTAAATCTGGAGCTGTGTTTCCACAGCCTGTGGGATAGCAGTCCATATTGACACAGCTCAGTTGACGACTTTTATCAGCTGATTTTCACCTGAAATGCAATGGTTAATCAAGAAACTGCAGAAATGAATTAAGAATTCTTTCAAACACTACAGCAGTAACTCAAAGTTCCACTTGTTGCTCAACACTCAATATTTTACTGGCACTTCAATCACTTTGTGGCACTTGCACTTACAGCAGATACATTTACAACATTCTCACCAGCCACATAACATGAAATCTACTTTATATGACTAATAATATGACTTGAAGCATTGACCAAGATTCCCATATGACCAAGTCAGTGAGCCTGATCACCTGATCCCATTAGTCGCCGACAAGGGTTGCTGAAGACCAATTTAACTCAGATTTTCACACATCCCTAGTTTTGTTTAATGAGCTAAGACCCTATTCATTGCTGCTTTTGTATCTGTGCCCCAGGATGGACCACCCTGTGATGCATGTGTCCTGGAATGATGCGGTGGCCTACTGTACATGGGCCGGCAAGAGGCTTCCTACAGAGGCCGAGTTTGAGTTTGCGTGTAGAGGTGAACTGGAGAACAGGTCAGTTCTATACTGCAATAGAACCAAAGCAATATTTCATAGTTGAACTTATATAATTATTTATCATCAATCCCATTTTGGCTCTTAACATGAGCATGTTGGCCTTGGAGTGATGCAGGTCACAGACATTCACTATTATGGTGCTGATAACCTGGAGTGAGTGAGTGAGTTTAGTTTTACGCTGCACTCAGCAATATTCTAGCTAGATGGCGACAGTCTGTAAATAATTGGGTCTGGACCAGACAATCTATTGATCAACAGCATGAATATTGATCTATGCAATTCGGATACAATGTCAACCCAGTCAACGAACCTGACCACCCGATCCCGTTAGTCTCTTCTTACAACAAGCATGGGTTACTGTAGATCAATTCTAACCGGATCTTCGCAGGTTGATAACCTGGAAACATAACCAGGTAGAACTGGGGTTCAAATCTTCCAGTATGGAATTCTGGCATGTCCAAGGGATGCAACTCTGCATAACAAATTGCAGAGGGGTTCAAATCTTCCAGTCACTCTCCTACCCAGAGTTCCATGCGGCAAGCCAGCATAGTATCTCTGCCACAGGCCAGAAAAATGTGACGATTCGTCACATCTTGCACCGTCCATTCAATATAATTTACATATTTCTCAACTCTTTTATTTTTGACGAGTCTACACAACTAATTAAACATCTTTGATAGAATGGTTTAGTTTCACTGAGAAAATATCCTAAAACATGTAACACTATTTCGATTTGCGTAGCGATCCTTTGTTTACATAGGTTGTACGGCACCACGTGCTCTGATGGAAGCTGATGGAGAGCAAACGATGCAGCCAGTTTGATATCTAACTATGTACTGTCATAGACCTTACTGTCGCAGTTGTGGAAGAATATATATGTAACAATGTAAAACATTATGAAGAGAGCGTCGAAAAGCTTTCGTGAGTCCAGTCTCTTCTTATTATGAATATGCTCGTTTGATTACAAACAAGAGAAAAGTCTGGTCACATGATATGCAAATTAGCCTGTGGCAGTGATGTTATGTTAAGTCATCGCTGTGCCGGAGTGTGATCTTCCAGTATGGAATTCTGGCATGTCCAAGGGATGCAACTCTGCATAACAAATTGCACCATTAGACATTGAGGTCACCAATGCTCTGCTACAATACTTTATATGATGCATGAAAACTTGAATAGATTAGAAACCAAACCAAATCATAGTTGGTAACTGAGTTAATAACTGAAATGTGTACTGAGATCGCTTTTACAAACCAGTATAGTCTGTTTGCAGTGGAAACGTACCAATGAATTTCACTTTAAACAAAAAAGTAAATCCAATAAAGTGAAATTAAGATTGCGAATCCTCATAATTTTACCTTGCCAATTGAACATTTAAATCTCAGAATTTTATTCAACTTAGGATAAAAGTTGTTTACAAACGATCATAGTTTCAAATCGCTGTGATGTGATGAGCGTAACTTAGACTACCGTAGAAACCAACCCTTCTTGTTCTCCGGGTTTCATTTAATGTGCACACACCCTTTATTTTCATGTTCAATTGGCAAGGTAAACTTATGAGGATTCTCAATCTTAATTTCACTTTATTTGATTTACTTTTTTGTTTAAAGTGAAATTCATCGGTATGTTTTCACTGCAAACAGACTATAGTAAAAACCTGTTTTTCATATCACCGTTAGTATTTTTTAAAATCTCATGATATGGTATTCATGCTGTGCCTCAGATTGTCGCAGTTCACTAAACTTCCACTGATAAATAGAGGATACTAAACCACCTTCTGGGTAATACCAATTTTATTAAACAAGTTAATGATTTCACAAGTTTAATAAAAATGGTATTTCACGGAAGTGAGTTTAGTATTCTGTTTATTACTCTCCAACATAAATTGATAGAAACTGCCTACAGTGTGATGACTCTCATATCAATTTTCCGCAAGTCAAGCAAGGTCTATTACCATTGCAACAGAGGCATTAGCATTGTGACGTCATAACTGTAACCATTATGACATCATATGTCTAGCAGTATTACACTAGTGTAATATTGCCGTAAAAATATTACATTGCAGTATCTTCCACAGGCGAGTAATAAACATATATACTCCATTCTGTGTCACCTCAGGTTATTCCCATGGGGTAATAAGATGATGCCTAAGAATGAACACTGGATGAACATCTGGCAAGGGGAATTCCCGAAGGACAACACCAGGGAAGACGGCTACTTTGGCACAAGTCCTGTAAGTACTGTATATCTCCGTGTATAAGGGGTGTTTTTCATACCTACAGTCTGAAGGGTTGGATGGAAGTGTAGCAGGGCGTGGAGTCATCCCACAGATGGCATCCTTACCTTGTCAGCTTGCTGACGGGGTTAACCTCTTTGGTCATGTGAACAAGGCATCCAACTTCGGATCAGAAGGTCCGTATGGCCACTACATTGGCGTCCAACGTGGGGCTGAGCATGTTCATATCTAATTTGAGCAAAATAAGTCTCGGTACCCAACTATGCGGCTTGGGACGTGCCTTCTGTTGACGGGGGAGTATGTAGCAGGGCGTGGAGTCATCCCACAGATGATATCCTTACCTTCTCAGCTTGCTGACGGGGTTAACCTCTTTGGTCATGTGGACAAGGCGTCCGACTTCGGATTAGAATGTTCGTGGTTCGAATCCGAGCACGGGACTCAGAAATTTTATAGCCGCTACAGAAGGTTGCCTTATGCATGGGGTAGAAGATCTCAATCTTTTCTAGCTGTATCACTTTAATTGGCATTGTCAATCGGTGTCCAATAGCCACTCATGTTTGACTTTAGAATTTGACATTTTGTTCGAAATATCTGTCCATTATGACTCATTCAGTTTTGCAGAAATATACTGTTGGCATTGTCATAATTGCTTGATAAATGTTTTAAACAAACTTACCACACAAGACATGGTACTTGGTGCTTTATTAAAAATTTATTTTGAGCTTTGTTTTGTATGTCATTGTTTCACAGTGAACCAGACATGACAACATACTCCAATATATCAAGATATAAATGTGTTGCTTTGTCAGTGGGAGCAAAGGACACTCTCATTTTGGCATCAACTTCATCTTAGGTGTCTTGTTTTCTAAAATCAGTACAACAAATATACTCATAAAATAATCTCTTTGTAAATCGACATTCCTGTAAATACACAAAGCCATTTAGAAAATGGTCAAATGTGACACGTTATATATAGGATTTCACTTTTTCAGTGTAATCCCATATATAGTACAGATTTTTGTACTTTTGTTGGGTTGAGTCCCATCCTGGATTTGAACCCACACCCTCAGAGTCAGGCACCTAAACGATAGCACACAAAGTAAGCGATTTAACCCGCTCAGCCACTGCAGCTTCCACGAAAAAGCAGTCCGAAACTGGTAGTCTATACCCGAGGGGTGCACCAAGAAAGTGTAATCCCAAATATAACATGTTAGATATTTCTGTAATGTAATATTGTATTCCAGGTCACTGCGTTCCCAGATCAGAACAAGTTTGGCTTAAAGAACATCATCGGCAACGTGTGGGAGTGGACCAGTGACTGGTGGGAGACTAAGCATACAAAAGACTTCAAGGATAATCCGGTGAGTTACGTCCTCATCTTTATTTTGTTCAGTTTCAGTTAAAGGAATACTAGCCTTATATGTTTGTGTGTCTCTTTTCCAATTTAAACATTTAAGACATGCTAGCTGCATCAGAGTCTATTTTAGGCCGCGCCCTTGTGCCACTGACGCATAGTGGTAAAAATGACGCACTATTCCTTGACCTGGTGGGTCCGGTTGGCGCACCATAAAAATACAAATGACTCAATCATGCACAAGCCTGCATACCCTGCCAAACTTGCCAGTATTTTCAACTTGTTCTCACATTTTCTAGCGATCAGTCGGCATTCGTAATCCTCACAGCACTATGCATGCTTTCCAACATCCAGTGCAGTGCCTAAATCAATGCATGGAGCTTATAGTACATAGCTTATTCAAGTCATGCTGTGTGCCATAAGAGTTACACCCCTTAGCAGTAAATTCTACATGGAAGAGCGGTAACTGAATTTGAAGGTAGTTATTTGAATCAAAATGCTGTGGGCAAAATCGTTTGCTGCTGTGAAGCGACAGTCGCGAATACTTTCGTTTGTCCAAACAAAAAGATAAAAAAAGTGACAGATAAGATTAGGGAACAGTTGTGGGGTCAAATGATGGCAATTGTAATTCAGAAATTGCAACAGAACAGATTGAAACAGAGAAAGACATCCCACTCACATTCTTTCCAAACAAAATGGCAAGTTTTACACCTGTGGGTTTTGTTCCGTGAAAGTCAAAATAAATCTACTAATTTAAAATGAAAACAGACTGTCACTGAGATATAAAGTTACAAGATAATGACTTTAATGGTCATCTCATTAAATTAACAGTGTTTGAATTAACAGTTATATAATACAAAATGAACAGCTGTAATTTGAATGATAAAATCATTAAAATTACTGAGTGAATAAATTGTCTTCCTTGTTTTTCTGATGACCCACCTACAATGGCAAATGTCCCACTAGTTCCATTATCCAATGGGCCCAGGGCCCACTTCATCTGAAAAGTAAAATAGACACTGCTGCATTGCTAGGTCATGACAGTTACATGTATTTGGAAAAACTCCAACAACAGGCTCAAATATATACTGGCTACTAGAGCTGTGACAATATATCGTAGTATTGATAATCGTGATACTTTATCTGACGATAAATATATCGATACGTTTTTTTTACGGGCCATTTCTTGTCAACCATATTGTCTCCACTTCAAACTTTAATCTTTTTAGACATTTATCATGTTGCCTGAAAATTCTTAGAGGGTTCATAACACATACAACTGTCCTAACAAGTCTTTAATATAACCTTGGGTAACAGTAGCTCTCAGAAATAGGGAGTTAGAGGTCAGCCCCATGTGAAAGAAGCTCTCATAAAATGTCTGAATATAATAATGTTATTTAGTACCAATTTAAATCTGGAAGAAAGCCTGTGGTTCAATCCTATGGCTTTGTGATGCAAGAATTATTTTATAAATGGTACTTGTTGTTTCCTGGCCTGATGTTCATCATTAAGGGAATAAAACAAGAACTGGTCAGCTTGGAGTCAGTATACCGTGTGTGAGTGGTTACCATAGAGAAATATTGTGAAAGTCTTCAATTGATTAAAAGTCTGCCTGTGAATTTTGGCTGAAGATACAGTCTCGCAACTCATCAGTTACATGCAACATTACACTCAACTGCTGACTCATCAAACAATATTCATCATATATATTTTATTCACCTCATCAGTAGAGGATTCAACGTGTATGCATGACCGGGTCTTTTGACAACCAAGAGAGGGTGAATATCATGAAACAAAATTATGTAAGGTCATTGATGGTTGTACCAGTTATTGTACATGCATGAAAGAGTAATCTGAAAAATTCAAAGGTCAAATGGTCATAGTGGATTAGTTGTAGCAATAGTGGGCACCATTTTCTGTGGGTAACCATGGTAATATGGAGATGTGAAAATGTACAATACTGTTTGTTACAGAAAGGACCAAGCACAGGAGTCGACAAAGTGAAAAAAGGGGGTTCATTCCAGTGTCATGAGGTGAGTCCTACCTGGGAGAAAAGTCAGGGCTTGGTTATCTGATGAATACATGGCGTTTCTAATGGATAACATCTTCTTTGTTGTGTATGCAGCATCCATTCATGAGTGAGTGAGTGAGTTTAGTTTACCAATATTCCAGCAATATCAATGCAGGGGACGCCAGAAATAGGCTTCACACATTGTACCCATGTTGGGAATCAAACCTGGGTCTTTGGAGTGACGATCAAATGCTTTAACCACTCGGCTACCCCGCCGCCCCCATAATAATGGAACGAAAAGTGGCTCTGAAAATCTGTGACAAAGAATAATGAAGTTGTTATCCATACAAAGTGTCATATATTCACGCTCTTCCAAAATCTAAATCCTATCTAAGACTTACATCCTAGTAATGTTAAGAAAAGAAGGTAAAGGACTGACCAGTCAGCACTTTAACCACTAGGCTATCTTTCACCCTGTTTAAGCAGGCTTTGGTGCAAACATTGTGATATTTCTTATTTTAAAGAATCTCTTCCATTCACCAGGTTTTATTGTTGGATAAGTGAGTGTGAGTGAGTAAAGATTTTAGTCACACCGGCAGTATTTCAGCTATTTCGTGACTAAAACAAGTTATACATTGGATAAGTACTTACGCTTGAGATTAATAGTTGAAATAGGTTGAACTTGTTAAAATTTGGAGGTATTTGGGTATTTTTCTGCTTTCATTTTAGTTTGTAAGAGAATGTCACAGGAATATCCATAGATTTCCATGTATCTATTTTCAGTCCTACTGTTACCGGTACCGATGTGTAGCCCGCAGTCAAAATACGCCTGATAGCTCCGCAGCAAATCTGGGATTCCGATGTGCTGCAAGCAAACTGCCAAGCTATTTGAAAGACGCAAAATAATTCATGTCAAGACATTTGCTCAAGAGTATATCATTTGAAGCTTTTCATTATTTTCACAATTACTTTTGTGTGCAAAGATGACTAGGTTTATGGTGTAAGGGATCAATTCAAATATAGGCGTACCACCATTCATCATGCTACCATGATACTGAAAAATTATCCATTTTAAGTAGTTAAATAGATGCATAATTTGTTTCTACTTAAACCTCTTCTATGTTCAGCCTTTTCACGCAATAACTGTGCATTTGAATACAGTAAACTATGTTTATAACAAACACGCATATCAGGCGCTATGAAGCCAATTTTTTCATGTAAGCCAATAGGTTGCAAAGCTTTATATTTACATAGTATTGAGGGCTTGCCCAACCTTTTTAGCAAACGTCATGTGTAAGCCTGGACTTTTTTATAATGGTAGCTACACCCCTACTTATAACAAACTAACCGATATCACGAACTGTTTTGGGGGTCCCCGCCACCTGCCATATTAGTCAAAGTGTGTATACGAAACTACAGTTGAAACGGCCAATGATTAGTGGTCACTTTGAGCTTGTTATAACCGTAGTTTACTGTAAATTGATTACACATAGCAGTTCATAGAAAAATGGCAGCTGATGAATAACCCATCAGAACTCATAGTGTGTTTCCTCTATGAGATGCTCTGTCTCTAATACACGAGGGTCAATGGTTCAAGTAATTACTTGGTACAGGGGCATCCATTTTGAGAAAATATGGTACATTTGATGTTAGATGTTTATTGTGATGGTATGTTTTGGTAAAGTTATCATCTCTGATTAATTATGAGATGCTACAAAGCCATGACAATATTTTTAGGACCTAACAGAACTTTATTTTTTTGCATTTATATCTTTTCATAAATCCAAAATTTTAAGAAGACCAACATAATGTTCTGTAAACTTGCATGATTCCAAACTGGGAATCTTACCAGTGTTATCACATGACAAAGCATTATATAAATAATACTCAAAACAATGTCCAAGATATTTTTACGGATTAAACTTCTTTTTAATTTCATATTGTGAGAGAAATTAAAAAGAAGTTTAATCCATAAAAATATCTTGGACATCAATGTACAACTTCTAAATGCCACTGAAAGACATCATACTCAAAACAAGTTAAGGAACACAATTGGATGTGATAACACCGCTGGAAGTCTGTGGTTCCCAAGTCCACCAGCCATGACATATTAATAATTGTCATATGAAAACATCTGGTGCTAACTTCTATTGAGTAGTATCATTTGACCCCTAATCATGTGACGCAATAATAGTTTAGGCCAGACCAATTTTATTTCTTGATTTACGGGGTTTTGTCCTCAGAAAACCTAAAGGCAGGAGGGCAATTTATGAAGTTTATATGGGGCAAAAAACAATCCCAAAATACTTTTTTTAAGTTGACATTTTTGGCCAATAAAAACATGAGGATTTATTTTTTGAGTGGGAAAATTCATAAGTGGAAAACAGTACTATAAGGGTTTATATTGGATCTACATTTTGCCCCTTCATCAGATCAGTGTGTATTACCAATAGGCTTTCACAAATTTCCAGAACAGCATTCACAGCTAATACTTGGTTTCAACTGAATCAGTATTGTTCTAGTGCTGTTTGCTACAAACAAACACTCATACTTTGGTTTTAAAATATTCATTTTAGGAAATACTTTTGAAAAAAAATGATGGCTTGAATCCTTTGTGATCATGACAAAGATAAAGATTAGTGGAAATATGTGGAAGATGAGTTGACAGGTCATGTATAATTAGAAGAAACTGCAGCTAAGAACTACCACACCCCATGTACAGTCACCGCCATTGTACTGAACGGACATGTGTGTCCCGAAGTGAGTGAGTGAGTTTCCTTTTATGCTGCTTTTAGCAATATTCCAGCAATATCACGGAGGGGAACACCAGAAATGGGCTTCTCACATTGTACCCGTTAAGGGAATCAATTCCGGGTCTTCGGTGTGACAAGCAAACGATTTAAACACTAGGCTACCCAAAGTAAATTAGTCCCAAAGTGAAAGCTTGGTCCCTTCATATTTTGTTCTTATTCATCATTTTTCGATTGTGTTATACCTCAGAAAACCCAAAATATTTACGTTGGTCCCCGTCAACTTAAACACAATGGTGCTGTATATAATCTTCTACAGTTTCTGTAGTGAGTGTTTTATTGTATACATTTTCCACAGCTATTACAGTGACTCATATTTATTGATGAATATATTTTTACAGTTATTTGATACTAATAATAATTTTATTCTTCATCTTCTGTATAAAATGGTAATGTGAAAATGTAACAGTGCCTTGAAGTCTTAAACAATATTTACTAGAATTTCATCCATTTTATTAAAATGTGATGCAGGAGGCAGCTTTTTATGATTTTACTCAACTACTGATATGAAAATCTAATAATTATTTTTTATGGCCTAAGATTTGTCATTTATGTAGGGATGAGGGCTACAGAAGGAGAGAGTAGTGTCAAACATGGGGAGTTGTCTTCCTCGAATCCACTCATGGTTGAAGAAGTCCACCTCTATTGCATATAGTTAACTTCTCAACATCGACGTCTTTGTATTACTTTAGAAGGTGCATAATATTAATAATATAACAAATGTCAGCACATTGCAACATTGTATTAATATTTTCCATCATAGAAGTGTATAAGCACATCATTCTGGTAAAAATTATGTATGATATAATCTGGCTATTATAAATCATATAAACTGGTAATCATAAATGGTATAAACTGGCTATTATAAATGATATAAACTAATTATAAATGAGATAGACTGGCTATTTAAATGATACAGTCTGGCTATCATAAATGATATAATCTGGTGATTATAGATTATATAACATGTCCCAGCTAGTCAACAGTAGTAGCATTTTGTCTTGTGAATAACATTGAGACTGATCAGAATTAGGATGATTGAAGTAACTGGCACAGGCTAATATTCACATTTTGTTTCATGAGAAGGAACTGAAATCCAATGAATGTTTTCTCTTGTAGTTCAGAACAGCAGTATTTGCAAAAATAATGGATATTATAAAAACTGAAAATTTATTTTTTACTTTCCCATCATCAATTATACATATCAGTTGTGAAAGACATCTTGTACTCAATGGGTAACATAGGTATATGTATAGCTATGCATTGACAGTATGTGAACAGCCACATCCTTGACATTTGATGATGTGTTCAACAATTAGCTACATTTTTATGGAAAGAGTGGCGGCTGAGTGGGTTAGATTGCTGACTTTGTGTGATGACAGTTAGGTGCTGACTCAGTGGGTTATAATCCCAAATGGGACTAAACCCCCCAAAGTCCTCAAATCTGTATACTTTACTGAGAAAGTGTAAACGCAAATAACACAACTGTTAAATTTGACCACTTTCTAAATGGCATTGTGTATTCATAGATTTTGGCCGTGGGAGCCATGTGAAGGTACATTTGTCAGAGGGGTACACAAAGTAAGTGATACTGATTACCAGTTGTCCCACTTCCATTTTTGGGGAAATTACAGTGGCTGAGTGGGTTAGATCGCTGACTGTGTGTGCTGGCAATTAGGTGCCACATTAGGTGCTTGCGTCCACTCATAGTTGAAGAAGTCCAACTCCATTACTCATAGTTAGTTTTCTCAACATCAACTTGTTTGTTTGTTCCAGAAGTTGCATGATATTAATGTAACAAATATCTGCACATCGCCCCATTTTATTCATAGTTTCCATCATAGAAGTGTATAAGCACATCATTCTGTTATTGTAAATGATATAATCTGGTAATTATAAATGATATAATCTGGCTGTTACGAATGATATAACCTGGTACATGTAATTATAAATATAAAAAAACTGGTATTTATAAATGATGAAATCTAGTAATAATGAATGATATAACCTGGTAATTATATATGAAAAAATCTGGTAATTGTGAATGGTATAATCTAGTAATAATAAATTCTATAACCTGGTAATTATAAATGATATAAACTGGCTATCATAAATGATATAATCTGGTAATTAAAAATGATATAACATGTTCCAGCTAGTCATCAGTAGTGGTGTTTTATCCTTTGAATTACATTAAGATTGAAAAGAATTTACAGAAAAGTGTAATCCCATATATAACCTGTTAAATTAGCTTCATAGACAATGGCTGTGCAATAACAGATGATATATACAGTCTTCCATTGTTCATGTTTTATTGTCAACCACACAATGAAATCAAAACTTTTATTTTTAAATATATGAGTCTTTCTGATATGTATTTATTCTTTACATGTATTCATTCACATGATGTGATCTCTTTATATATATATGAAATAAAAATGTTTACCGCTTCTAGAAGTTTAGTGAGCTGCCTGTTTGATAACGAAGGATCTAAAGTTAATATGGACACAGCCTTGTTCTCAGCATGCAATAGTTATTAAATTAACATGGATTGTTGTCATACATTTAACATGTTTAAAGTCTTGTATCATACCGACACAATGTTTCTATTGTAATGCGTTCATTACTAAACATTTCTGTTGGGTTTTTTTTCAAAATTTTGCATCCCATTATTTAGCTTTGATGTGCACTGTACATGTTTTATGTAGTCAAGACCATAATGTGTTTGTTTTACAAGACACTATATCGCTGAAATAATGAGGATGCAACATAAAATCTTCATTTACTTGATTTAAGAGCTCACCAAGGCTGGAATCGGGACTCATGTTTAGCTTGATTTAAGAGCCATGGTGGTCTACCAAGGCTGGATAAAATCAATCAATGTTTTGCCTGGCCCAATCTTTTGGCCACCTTTCTCATACAGCTGGAATTCTTCTGAGTGTGACTAAATATCTCAGTCTGTGGGGTTAATATAATGTTAAAGCATAAATGCATGTAGCTTGCTGGAATTGATTCTGGCACTTTGAAAAAGGTCCATGTATGACTGTTTGATTGTAGGTAAAGAGTTCCAAAGAGTTGGGTCATGGTGGTCGAAAACAAGGTGGAATTTAGAACTTGATTTGGGTCAAATGTGTGACGTTGCTCGGGTGAGATATTCTGGGATGATTTGACAGCTGAAAGTGATGCAGAGAAGTTTGAATAATATCTTTATGTAAGGATTTGGCCACCAGATTTTCTTCATACAGCTGCAGGAATTCTGTACTTTCTGTAGTCTTGAGTGTTTGCTGACCGATCAAAATATTGCAGTAGTCTAGTCCCAATAGCACTAGACATCTGACTAGGATGTGGGCACATTCCGCTGTGATGTAATTCCTGATGTTTCCTATGGCTTTAAGATGAAAATAACATGATTTGCATATTCTGTTGACTTGCTCCTGCAGTGAAAGGCCTCGGCCAATCCAAACTCCTAGGTCTTTCACAAGTTGTGGTGCCAATGACTTCATTTCTGAGAGACTTTCTCATTACCTCTGTTATCTTGTTAACCATTATCCCAGCAATGTCAAGTAATTGAAAAACACATCCTCATATTTCAAACTTGCTTGCTCATCTGAAAGCCAGAGGAAATGTCTTTTTGGGATCTCGAAACTCCATACTGCATTCCATATATCATCATATCACATGGTCATTCAATACTGTAATGAATTGCACAGATCATTTGCTAATTATTTCTGTTGGGAATGAGGCCCTTTAGTGTACAAATTAGAGATCATATATGATCTGATGATGTGCTTCTCTCAGGGTTGTGCTGTATCTATGCTCTGATGAATAGCTTGGTTAGGGTTATATACTGGGCATATAAATTAGCATTGATTTTAAAGGATTGTACGAAGGGGTTATATGTCGTGTTGCTTTATATATGGTGATATACGGTAATATATTGCATGTTGGCATCTTTCAAAAAGACAGTCTACAGACATTGGCCATTTCATATATTCTCTTTCATTCTCTGTTTGTGGATATCAGGCCATTTACCATTTTGTGAATGGTGAACTGGTCCAATATTCTAATTTGCTACCAATGCCTATAAGAATCCCAATTACGGACTGGTCATTTATTCTAAGGGTCTTGAAAGAATAACGGGCAAAGAGGAGAGAGGCTGGGTATGGGGTAATTTATCACAACTTTGCCACCATCACTCACGCCTAAATTTAAAATATTGAATTTGGTCATGAAAATCTGTTACATTTATTTGGCAAAGCTGTTAAAAATATGTTTCAAAAAGTTGTGTGTGTGTGTCAGGATACAGTTTTAAATCCCAATAATTCCAACCACCACCTGTGACAATAAATGACCAGTTCCAATATGCACGCTCTTGCCTTGACTATGTTACTAGGTTTTACAGACCCAGAACTAAGGAACACGGCTCCGATCTACAAAGCAATCGTAATGTTAATTGCTATTGTAACTTTATAGTATGTCATAGGCTTACAAATGACATAGAGCTATGAATACTTTGTGGATTGGGCCCCTGTTCCTCAGTTCTGGGTCTGGTTCCAGGAAGCATTCATAGCAATAAGGAGATCGCAACTTTAGTTCTTTAAAATTGGCTTATGACAGTCATCATGCTGAGGTCACATTCTACAATGGGGCCCTGGTTTACATTGTCAAAACCAGGTTTTCTTTAATCTTAAACTGACTTGTCTCTGGATGCATATGTTTATCTTGATGCTCTCAGAGTGATCATGGATGCTGAAAGGTGAATTAAAGAAATTGTTGATATATCGTGTCATGTTTTTTTAGTGGGTATGTGTAGAGGAGTGAGTGAGTGAGTATGGTTGTGCTTTGCTTTTAGCATTATTCCAGCAATATCATGGCAGGAGACACACGAAACTGGCTTCACAGTGTTTTAGTACATACTCCTTTGCTCTGCTTTTAGCATTATTCCAGCAATATTATGGCAGGAGACACATGAAACTGGCTTCACAGTGTTTAGTACATCCTGCTGTTGATCACTGGATTGTCTGGTCCAGATTTGATTATTTCCAGATAGCTGAAATATTGCTGAGTGCGGCGTTACACAACAATCAAACAAATAAAACAGTGTATATTGTTTCCTTCAATTAAGGTCAACTATCCAAGACATATAGGTTCCATAGCTTAAGTTTGGAAAATGTCAGAACCACCATCTCTCACCATGTTATCTTTAGCTCAGAGTTTGTGTCACTCATGATAATTAAAATTACCCTCTTTCACCATACATTGTTAACACAGAATATTTTACAAATTAGCACACAGTTTGTGTTGCTCATGAAATCACCAAGTAATTAATGATGGACTGATCTTTCTAAATGTCATACTCATTTAGATATACTGAACATAACGATTGAGGATCACACGTGATATATTGCTGAAAACTAAATATATAAACGAAGCAAAACTACACAGGTGTATATGAATCTATGGTTACCAAATTCGAAATTAAGTTCAGCTTGGAAGTGCCCTATAAAATATGAAGACCAGGAACAGACCCTGGTGCTGTTGTACGAAACCTCCATGGTCTGGAAACTAAACAGTTTGAACAGATAGCGTAAACGCACCATGCTTCGTGGCAAACCGAGGAGCATGACTTTTCCCATACGGTCAGACCAACGTGGGAAACGATCAAATCGGTCAGTTGTGTTCAGGTTTTGCGTGGGTTAAGGTCTGACTTGAGTTTAGACGTCAGTTGAGTTTAGGTGTAGCTTGAGTTCAGGTGTAACTTGAGTTAGGTGACAGCTCACCACAATTCGTTGTAGATATAGAAGTTAACAGTGCATCAAAATAGACGTTTCATATAGCTAGCTGCTATAGAGCTAGATACTGTAGATAGTAGATAGACTTTACATTGCAATAGAGCTAGATAGTTAGCATTTGTTATAAGAGATTCACATTGAGTTCTCCATTTTTTATTGTGTGAATTATTTCATCAGTCTAATCAAGCATACTTTGACACTTCGATTTTAGTTACGGTAGTTTTGTTTTCAATTCCACTGCGCAACACATAGTGTTACTAATGTTGTCCGTCTATGTTACGGTTTGAGAGTTAGATCACCTTAAGGCTAAGCTTGTTTGTACAATACAATAGACCACAGGTCTGAGAGTATCCTCTGAGGCTATGTTCATAGGCGGCCCTGTGCCACTTTAATGATTGAGTTTAGTTTTACACCGCTTTTAGCAATATTCCTGCTATTTCACGGCAGTGGACACCAGAAATCGTCTTCACACATTGTGCCCATGTGGGGAATCGAACCCGGGTCTTCGGCGTGACGAGCAAATGATTAACCACTAGGCTACCCAACCGCACCTTGACTTAAGGCAATAGAGACAGTTAACATCTACTGTAAACACGTCTCTTGGTGAGTCCACCAGTGCATCGTGACCTCATGCTCTTAACTAAACTCATCATGAACATCTCAGGTTAATCATTCTACTCACAGGTGAGAGCTCTTTACAAGCAAGTCATGAGAAGCTGGTATGATGAAGAGGAACACTTATTTTATGGATAGACAACTTCTTTATTGCAAGTGATAACACCGAAACATCGCATCCATTGCAATAAAGTTGTCTATCCATAAAACTGTTCCTTTTCATCATACCAGCTTCTAAATGTCACTCAAAGAAGTATGGTGGCATCTTATGAACATTTATTATGCCCTCTCTAAACAGGCCTATACAGCCATCATGGAATGACGAATTGAATTTGCTTTGGTCAGATAAAAGAATGATGACCTCTGAAGCTGCCTTTACTGATGATGGTGGGGTGGTGGTGTAGCCTAGTGGTTAAAGTGTTCGCACATCACGCCGAAGACAAGGGTTCGATTCCCCACATGGGTACAATGTGTGAAGACGATTTCTGGTGTCTGGAATTTGGTTGCTGGAATATTGCCAAAAGCAGCGTAAAACTCACTCACTACTGATGATGGTGACAGCACCAAAGCAAATGATGTGGTGTACGAACTGCTGGATGTCTGTAACAACCAAAACTGGCATACTACTAACATTGGGATGTACAACCCGAAGTTTCATTAAAAATACCTGCTTACTGTGAAACTCTGAGAAAACTCTAATTTGTGAGGTTGCTGAAATAGTTCTGATTGTTGCTATGGAATAAGTAAGCTTTGTAACTGAAAGCAATTTTCCATTTCCTATTTGATGGATCTCCTCAAATATAATCCCATGGTGTGTATAGAAATGCGATAACATGTTATTATAATTTATTTACGTATAACTGAAGCGAATGCAAATTGATCCCCAAACTATGCCGTTGTATACTGAGTACATCTCTTTCGCTACTCCCTTTTATCCCCAAAAGCTGCAACTGCTTGCTTTTTAATAAAGTATACTACAAATCTTTGTGTCTTTGAATGTTATAATTACCCAATTTGTTTCCTTGTGTTCATTACCAGACAGTTCCTATTTACTTCCATTTGTCGATCTATAATCAGTACTATAAACAACTGGCTTCCCTTGTTAAATTGTCTACCTCGTTATCGTCTTATTTTTGCTGTCATCACTTGTACACATGAGCTCTCTAAATCCTGGAGGAGTTGGAATATACTCATAAATGTTGTGTTCCTCACACATAAGTCGACATCCTTAATTTTTTGCTGTTAAATAAACCTTTGGTTTCTAATTGTTCTCTAATTGTTCGAGCATGGTATCCACTTTTAGTGGTAGTGTTATATAGTTTTGGGGCAACATTGGCCAAAAACAGGCCTATATGCGCCTTGACTCGACTAAATATGAATCACAAAGTGTTTTATCGCCAAAATACACTTTAAGGTTTAAGTGAGAGAGTTACCTCCGTTGAACCTTGATGAAAAAAACGTACGCAGGTCATGACTCAGGCACAAAGGTAACAAAACACCAAATTTTTATGGTAAAGTGCGTGTATGCATGAGAAAAGACAGAAGTACACCACGATTTCCAGTAAAAATTCACATTCACTCAACATCGACAATAATCCTTTCATTTTCTGACACTACTTTATTGCTGTGCCATCATTCAAGAATATGGGGATCAAATGGTAGGTACCCCCTACAGTTACTGGAGAGACACAAACATGGCTTCCTGGTTCCTTCATCAACTTCGGTACAGTTCCTGTCATCTGATTGGCCGCTGTAGTCATAACAAAGTTCCTGATTGGCTGGAATATCACATCGAGAAAAAAGGGCTAATTTCGGCACATTATTATCCACCCTTACTGGAACCATTATTAGATTTGGATCACAGGAATGGTTCATATATCGTCCAATATTTCCAATATATTTCGGATCAACACAAGTGTTCACAGTTCCTGAAGAATAATGTTCTTTCAGTACAAACAAGTAATTCATATCTTCTTGGGTGAGACAATCAATTCTTTTTTGTGCCTCTTTATCAGATAACACTTCACCAGCATACTCACAAACAAATGAAAAACTTGGAATGTCTTCTAACGTCCTTAAGCCATGTCCCTTAGCTTCTGATGTGAAGACTTCCATTTTGATACCAACTCCAAACTGTACAAGTCTGTTAACACATGTCTTATGACAGGAGCAATGGCTGTTACATTCAAATATAGGTTTCACTGAGGACACTGTGAGGAGTTCAGGTAAGATTTTGTGGTTGGTTGAATAGTTTGGTCCAAATCTTGCATTACACAGACAGGCTTCGGTGCACATTGTCTGACAGTTACATCCAGAAATTTGAGTCTCAAAGTCGTGCAGAGGAGTGTCTTTGTGAGGTATGTTCGATCTTACATACTGCAAATATAAAAGACAAACATGAGTGAATGACGGCTCAAACTGAAGCACCAGTAAAATCAGAAACACAATACAAACATGTAATCCACTGTCTATGAATGTGATAAAATAAACTCACTTTAAACCTAATTACGAATTGAAACACCCCAAAATAATTTAAAACTAATTCCTGAAAACTGTTATAATGACTGCCTTGGGAGCAACTTTTAACATCATTGTCAGACCTTTACATAAATGAACACTGGTTGATCATGTCTTTCATTGAAATGCACATTCACAAACCAAGGGAGACAACTCTAATGAAGACAATGCACTGAGGAGTTTCAAATAACAAATATTTGTGAGTAAATCAGCAGTTGGGTTTATACCACTTTAGCAATACTCCAGCCATATCACAGCAGCGACCACTAGAATTGTGAATACTTATGTCAGACTGTAACATTATAGATTAACAACTAGTCTCTGAAATGAACATATTTTACAGAAAAAAAGCTCATTGTACACAAAAAAAAATATAATGAAAAGGAGCCCTAAGAAATTCTTCATTTTCAGAACCTGTGGGAATCTAGACTTGCCACATTGTCCAGACTTGCGTGGGCTTTCTTGGATATATTTGCTTCTGGGTCTGTATAACAGACTATGTTAATTACAAAACGAATGAGTAGATGTTTCACTGCCATGAGATATGTTTATCTGACATCGTTAATGATTGAGTTCTCGATGACAGAACTGGAAACAGACCAACACACTACATCACTATGTCAAAGTACAAACTCCTCAACAAGATGGAGTGTTTTGAACTTGTTATTGTATTCCCAACTGGCACAGCTGCAGCTCATCAACAGACTGATACACCAGCATTTATGCGGCAACAGGAAGCTAGTTACAGAAACGTTACATTTGAATAATATCAAGGATTTGCCAGAATGAACATGGTAATAGAGCATAAGAATAATAGTATATTTTCCATAAAATGTAACTGAATATGAAGACATTGGCCTACTTCAGAATTAGGGACTGTTCATAATTTATGGCTAGGGGGAGTGATGATGATTTTAAGGGGGGTCACCCATTTTATTCTGGGGAGGTGGGGGTCATCAAACTAGGGGTTGGGGTTGGGATCTGCAATTTTGCACACAAAAATATTTTAAAATAATGCTTAAATATTATGGGAAGAGGGATAATTGATTTTGTACATGACATGCAGGTGTGTGTGAGGGGGATGTCACTTACTTTGTACATCAATTTTAGGGGGGGGGGGTCATTCATATTGTACATGCTTCTCCATAGAATCATATCATATCACACACTCACACACACACACACACACACACCATGAATTATGAATATGAACGGTCCCTTAGAAAGTAATCCTACGCAATCACCACTGGCAATATATTCCATATATTTGTTATGACGATGTTTGAATGGAGTTATGCCATTCTGGAAGTTCAGATGCGAGTTGTTTTTCTTCAATTATTTGTGTGTGTTTTGTAACAAACAGTTTAGCGAAACCACTGGTTTCATATTTCTAGGCCGCAAACAGATCATTAATGCCGAAGATTAAACAAAACACTTTCCAGGTCATGTAGTCTAGTTCACCAGTCAACCATCTTCCTGTCTGCCAAAAAATAACAATGATTCTCTTCATCCCGATAATATGATTCAACGTTATCGCATAGACATGACATCCGTAGTGGCGTCTCAAACCTTGAATTCTTTTGCCGTTTCAATCAGCTTTTTGTCTTCGAAGTGAACAGATACCTTCTCCAACCCTTCACAAAGATCGTACGGGTCAACAGCTAGCCATTCACTCATTGTTATCAACACAATCGCACCTCAATCACCTGATTGCGACCACCGGCTGTTGATAACTGTTGTATTACCGGTCATGTGATTGGTCACGTGACTCTCGTTTTTGAACTTGCGGGATATACAAACGGCAACATGCTCATTGATGAATGGAAGTGACAGTATTTTAAACCTGATTTGATACGTGGCTTTAATTATGAGATATATTTATATTTGAAATAACACATAATAGATCGTGTTTAAATATGGTAGTATATGGACCAACGCTGTGCGATATTGGTGAAAGCGTGGAGCATCGTACATCTCTCGTAGAGTGAACTGGGAAGAATGGTGCCGGTGAAAGCGAGTTGTCTGGCGAGTGTCGTATTTCAAAGCCTAAATTTAACGCCGACGGCTGACAAACCTAATTTCTTGCAGACTAGTGGGAACTCGTTTAGTTTGCTCCTATAGCGGGGTATAATGTCTAAGCCACTGTAATCAAAGACAGTCAGTATTAGAAAGTGTTGAGGCAGGAACTTCCCGTTTAGTTCTTACGTCGAGAACTCTGGATTTGCACATTGGTCATACTGGCATATACCACATGTCTTTGACTGGACCAGTCCATTAATGGGTTGTCCCATTTACCGACACCTGGGTCTCGTTACAGTAGAGGAGGGGTGTGACTGATTTGTTCCACAATATATCACATGCTGAGAAAACCATGACTGACCCTCGTTAACAGTAAGTAAAACTGTGTCTTATATCATTTTACATCTTTTAAATTATGGCACACTAAGTTGTGGTATACTGTCTGTTTATAGGAATACATGTAATAACTGTTGAAGATGACATGGCAAGAAGGGTTTTTCTTGTAGTCAAGTCCTTCCCATCAAGCTTGTCATAAAAGATCAAAAGTTGATTTGTACATGTTACATTGCTAATGTTGTGTGTGTTTGTTTTTTATTAATTTCAGGACATGGTATGAAAGAGGATGTTCCTTGGATATGAAAAGAAGAAAGTTTTTGCAGTAAAACACAGAATGGATCCCCAGTGCATATCCCTCCCAAACATTCCGCTATATGTGTTGCTGTTTCTTTCTCTTGTCAACATCGGCCATGGAGATGCAGGCATCGGTGTCCCAGACAATGTGCCGCTTTATACCCAGGGAGCCCATATATCACACGGCTTACCAGATGTTCTTGTGTTTGTGGGAAGAATTTTTGAGTACTCACTGGCATCACATGAAATATTTGGACAAGATGGTGTCAAGCCACAGGTAACATCTTTTGTTTTGATGCAATATGTATTTATATTATGGCATGGAACAACACTAAATGTTTCTAAAATATTGTTTTTTTAGAATTTTTACTATTACATTTTAATTGTATACTACACAAAGAAGTTAAGGACCACTGATTTCTTCATATACTTATTACATATTAGTCATGGTCCTTACTCTGCTGGGAGACTGTTTGAGAGCATGTATGTGTAATAGCACCTGGACAACATAAGGAAATGTTGCTATTTCAAACCACCATGCATGTACTACTCGCTCTGGGCATGACATGACTGAAATATAACTCAAAAGAGGCACATAACTAAACTCCTTCATATATAGATATACTCATGGAAACAAATAAGGGAACACATGAAAGTACAAGTATTCCTTTATTTCCAGAATTTCACCCACAGTGCAATACATACCTTGTGAAGAAACCTGGAAAAGAATAAAGAAACACTTGTACTTTCATGTGTTCCCTTATTCTTTTTCCATGAGTATATATGTCATTAGAGGAATTATTGGCCCTGTGGTCTAGGAAGCACAATGTGCTGTGTAGAGTTGCATCCCTTATCAATGCCAGGATCTGCCGCTTTGAGATTCTGATTCTAAAGTATCCATGACTGATGTTTTGATTGGTTAGAGCTGTACTTGTATTTGTTGGTTTCACAAGACTGTGGGTTTCTAATACCTGGTCACTTCCCGTTAAGACACTTATCTTATTACCCATGAAGACTGCTCAAGACATATTCACAATAACACACTTGAACCATCACCTGCAATGACAATACAGGCCTACAGTCACTGGATGGTCTGGCCCAGATTTCATTATTCACCGGCTGCCATCATATAGATGGAATATTGCTGAGTGCAATGTTTAATAACCTCAAACAAAAGTCACTGGATTGTTTAGTCCAGCCTTGATTTTTGTTTAGTCCAGCTTTAATTATTTAAGACAGAGCTATCATGTAGCTAGAATATTTCTGACTGACTCATGAAATAAGCAACAGAAAATGTTCATATACATTGATGTGCATTTGAGAAAAGTGTATTTACCAGCAAAACATAAATTCCTTAATTTTTTTAGTGTTTTTATAAATGTATTGATGAGGAACAACATTCCTGATACTGTTGTTTGCTGTATAACCTACCAGTTTTATTTGACAGGTGTTGATACACATGTATATGACACTGACAGTACACAGAAAAAGGCTTGAAGCCAAGAGTAAATTAATGTTTTGTATTTATTAAAAAATACTGCTGATAAAGTTAGAGTATAAGACAGAAGAAGCAGCATCTAGGGCCACTAAATTGGAACTACGTAGAAATCTTTAGTGAATCACATTTTGAATTTCTTTTACAAAAAAATATGTTAGAACAACCCCAGGAACATTTAAAATAGCTCCAGTAACAATACAATTGGTTACAGTTGAAAATCACCTCACTTAAATTTGAAAACGTCGGAAGGTGGGTGTGTCAGCCCAGATGCCGAGGCAGTTTGTGCACGTTGCCGTTACTATTGTGTATAAACGGTCCCCCCAGCTGCTAACAGTAGCAATTTCCTTTTCATGCTTCAAGAATCTTGACTCATCATGCTGGTTTTCCGTTCTGTAGCAGCAGTGGTGCTATTTACTGCCGGAGAACTTGTAAAATGGTTGGAGTTTGGTGGAACAATAGGCCATTACACCGATAGACCTTTTCCTTCCATTGTCCAGGGGACCTGGGTCTGATTTTAGTTTAGGGGACAAGGAATACTGTCCACAGGCTGTGTGGCGTTGTTGCCATGGGTGTACAACACGCGTGCTTGCCGTGGGTGTACAACAGTGGGCCCGCTGAAAGTCTCACCACACCTGGGTCTCTTCTTGTTTCTGATGATCGTTGGGTAAAAGGTTGCTGGTTTGATAAACATTTCACATGTTGAAAGATGTCTTCAAGTGGGTTTAACTTTGATACAGATCTGTCAAGCAGCTTGTTTTGCCATTTATTGTTTGCGCAATGGTCTTTTGTTCGTTCTGTTTTCTGAATTCAATATGTTCAAACTAGTTCATGAAGACAGCAGGTATGGTGAATGTCTTGAGGTGGCATACATGTTTTTTTAGTCTGCATGCCTTTAAAATCTTCTTTTATGTATCAGTTCACCAAGAAGTAGAATGGAAAACACTATACAAATGATATATTGATGTAGTAGAGTGAGTGAGTGAGGATTTTACACCGCTTTTAGCAATATTCCAACAATATCACATCAGGGGACATCAGAAATGGACTTCACACAAGCAAGCACTTAAACAACTTGTCTATCCCATTGCCATTGTTTCAGGTTAAGAGGTTAGGCTCTTAACAATGATTAAAACAAACATCCCCTACAAAAAAAAAAACCCCACAACCTCCCAAAGGTTAGATGGCGATTATTTTCATTCAAACTAATTTTCAGAAAATCTTTTAGAACAGTTATATCATTTGTAAAGTGGACTTGTTTGTGAAACAAAACAGTTAATCCTGTTATTTGTCCTTGGAATAGTTTGATAATCTCTAACACAAGTACACCCACATACATGTATGTGCATTGTGAGAAGTTCTAAAGATTTTTTTTTTTTCCCTGAAGTTAGCGCCAAAATTTATATCACACACGGCCACACAATACAAGTTGTACATAAACCTGTCTTGATTGCTTTTGTGCAAGCAGAGGTTTGTGCATGTGGTGTTAAACTGCTCCCATACCTAAATGATAAGCAACACATGGGACAAAACTTGAGTTAGAAATCTGATAATGTTGAGGCAAGGTTTGGAAAGTTTTAAAGCACATATACATGATATATGGCTTTCAGACTTCTATACATTAAGCATATTAAGACCAGAGGTGAACAGGTACATTAGTACTTAGAACATGTTGGTGAACAAAATGTATCATGTTTTTTTCATTGAATGATTTATACCATTGGTGCTTCAGAAAAGATATTGTAATCTAGAGGGCTATTTGTAGCATATCTTCTGAGACTGAAATGGTGGTCTTGACAGCAGTTCAGAAAATGAAATTGTTATCTTGTGAGCTATTTGTGGGATTTCTACATCATATTTTTGTGGTTAGTGTAGCCATGTGTGTGATGGATTCATAATGAAACCAGTGGAAGCTTGTGAGAGATGTTATGTAACTGTAGCATTAGTCATAGTGGAGCCATTACCACTGTAACCTGTGTAACTAGATACTGCATGTAATCACGGACATCAGCTTTGAGGAGAACCAATCAGAATTGATGACAAGTTCCCTGTCCCAGGAGACCATAGGGCGTAATGATTAACCAAGTGTTTGGTACGGGATTAGACTAACAGCTAGTCTCTGAAATGAACATATTTTACAGAAAAAAAAGTTTGTAAATTGAAATAAAATACAATAAAAAGGAGCCCAGCTAATTTCCTCATTTTTAGAAACTGTGGAAATCTAGACTTGCCACCCATTCTAGACTTGCATGGACTGCACTGGGTATATTTATCTCAGAGTCTGTATGACAGACTATACAGGGATATACTCTGTGATAAGGTTCTGTGTTCAGTTGTCACGTCTATGTGCACCAAGCATATTTTAATGGAACAAACAAGTCATTTTGAATCCTCATCCCCCTGTTTTCTCAGCCTCTACTGATCCATTACACAGCCCTAGTATGAAATAAACCGATGAAGATTCGGGTTAGAATTGGTCTTCAGCAACCCGTGCTTGTCGCATATTTTAATTGAACAATCAACACATTTGTATTCTCATGCCACTCTTTTCTCAGCCTCTATTTATTTCCACCTCAGCTCCAGTTTGAGGGTTCCTAAATACCCAAGGATTATTTTTTAGAAATATTTTGATTCAACCTGGTTTGTAGCTATATTTTGAGGCTATATGTTAGTATAAAGAGAGAATGTATGTATTGTGGAAAGCACTTTTATATAAAAGGGACTCTAACTTACAAAACACTTAAGTGTCGTCATTCTCTTGGTAAAGTTTGTGGAAACTGAAACAAAAATTTCACTTGACCTCAAATATTTAAACTTCTAAGCAGGGTAGTGGGGTAGCCTAGTGGTTAAAGCGTCCGCTCGTCATGCTGATTCGATTCCCCACATGGGTACCATGTGTGAAGCCCATTTCTGGTGTCCCCCACAGTGATATTGCTAGGATATTGCTAAAAGCAGCGTAAAACTAAATTCACTCACTGTCAGGTGTCCGCCTTTGCTATGTTATCACTTTTGTTGTTTACACATATAACTATCTCCTTCCAAGTTTTCATTCACCTGATGAAGGAGTAAGACTATATTCTGAAATGTCATTTTCCTCATATTACAGTAGTAGACCGCCTCCGTGGTGTAGTGGTTAGAGCGTCCGCCCGGAGAGCGGAAGGTCGCGGGTTCGATCCCCGACCGCGTCATACCAAAAGACGTTAAAATATGGTACTTGTTGGTCCCTGCCTGGCGCTCGGCATTACTGGGTACAACAAGGACTGGTCGGCTGGGAGTCAGTATAATGTGTCTGAGTGGGGTATTCATGCTTCACTGCGGCATGGTATCTCAGTGGGCTAGCACTATAAAACCAGCTTAAGTCTGGGCTAGTACAAGCAGCCGCACATACACATACACATGCATGCACGTCGTCATATGAGCGAAATATTCTCAAGCATGACGTTAAACCCACTTTCACCTCACCTCACCTCATATTACAGTAGATGACATCCATAAAATTACCACTTTATGTGTATCACTTCTAAATGCCATACAAAGTCCAGGGCCTAGATTTTCGAAGCTCTCTTAGCGCTAAGATAGTCGTAAGTGCCATACATTAACATTAACTTACGACTATCTTAGCGCTAAGAGAGCTTCGAAAATCTAGGCCCTGATCACTGAATGTGGCGTTAACAAATATCAGCTCAGTGTATGCTATTTACCTCGGCATGTATATTCTGTTACAAGACAAGCGGAAATCAACAGACTGACATGCCATTCCGCCAAACTATACATCCATGCATCGAGAACGAGACAGTATGTGTACCGTGACATTAACTGTGGGCACCGTAGATAAGTACTCAGCCTTGCTCCACAGCTGTACTGAGTGCTAAGTCCATGGATGTCTTGTAACTCTAAAGAGGCAAGTCTAGAGGTAGCGGACAGTATAAGGAGTCCCCCGAGTGCAATATTGACAAACGTTAACTTATGGATAACTAGGTCTGCACGGTATTACCAGTATACGTGTATATCGCAATACGCTTTTCAGATGATACGTATCGGAATGTTTTTTCTGAGAAATGATATATTGGGTAAAGAACATATATGAAGTTTTGTGATTATCTTCATGGTATAAATTAAAATCTACACATACTATGCTTCACAACATATTTTTTCCTTCGTTATTCAATGACAAAATGGCATACTATAAACTGTATGACAAAGAAATTAAATCCCTGACTATGCAACATATTTTTGAGATTGTTGTTATCAGAACCATAGCATATATGTTAAGGGGCTTATATATATTTTATAATGTAGAAAATAGGATTGACATGCACAATTAGTGTCACTCACTGTCAAACCTTTAAAGGTCACATGCAACCAAAAAATCAAACATAATTAAAACACAATTATCACTTCTTCATGACATATAATATGCATTGCTGATTATGAAAAAACAAATAAACAAAATTATAAGCGTATAATCGCAAATCAAAAGTGCAATATTTTGTACTTGGGTTTACCTCCCTCGAAACGAAGCAGCCGGGATACCGAACCCAGTCAGAGCGGGTGGGTGTGCACTCAAGTGTAACGGCTGGTTCATTTGCAGATGCTGCCTTCACAGCTCATTGTGTGTGTATATATAGAGATGTTGGGTTTTGTAAATACATGCTCATTTTTTGTGTATAACATTTTGCAATCAACAGACATCATAACATGTCATGTGTTCAAGTATCACACCTGCCTGTCTGTGTAATTACATAATGTGACAGAGACCGAACTCGGGCCATAAATCAATGCGTTTTGTTTATGGTGTATAGCCTGATTGGTGTTAAGTTCAAATTGCATGTGGTCAGTGATCGCAGTTGTGTATTGAATATTGTCATTAACAGACAGGCAGGCAGACACACAGGTGTCAATAAAACAAGACATTGAGTTTTGTCTGTGACAACGACATATCTATATCACAGTTAGAAATTCTGTCAACGCTAAATAATGGAATTGCTTTTAAGTATCGAACTAAGAAAGTGACTCTGTGAAATATTTAAAAATGAAATTATATAAACAGTTTATTTACTGTCATAACATATAAAAAGCTCGCGCCAAATAGCTCACACCAAAGCCTTCACTGAGTATTCACCAGACAGCCCGCTTCCAAGTTGCGCGAACCTATTTAACTGCGCACATGCTATGAGCGCAGCCCAGCTGTTGAAACCCGTTTTCCCCCGAAATGTTCGGGGGGAAATTAGTGAATCGTTTGAACTCCGATTTCGCGCGTTTTTTTCCATCGCGTTATTTTTCAACTTTATAACTTGAATTTGCGTTTTTGATGATTTGTTTCGGTACGTCCATACCGAAAGGTATCAGAATCTGCAAAGTTGTGTTTTACGTTGCATGTGACCTTTAAGTTCCCAATATATCACAATACGTATCGCAATAAGGGTACCTGAATCGCAATGTATTGCAATACAATTTATTTGCCAATACAGAACCCTATGGATAACAGACAGTATTCTAAGGACGCCAGACAGAGGGAAAATGTGTTTTACACATATTTTTTAGAAATTATCATTTAAACTATTAATTATTAACTTAGAGACTTATGCAAGTCTAATCAGTACTGAATGTGGCAAGATTTAGGACAGACGAGATGTAGGTTAAGTGAGACTTGATACTAATGTAGAACATGTGAGTCAGACATGTTTGTCGGGACATGGAGATAGTGACTGCTGGCATGTAACTATAGACACTCACCCAGAGAAGGGGATTAAACAGTGTTTTTATGGCTGTTATGTTTGTAGATTTTACAAAAAAGACATTTTAAGAGTTTGTTTGCCATGTCACCACTGACCATTAGGAGAGCAATTTGGGTATATATTTTGGTTTAAAGGGTCAGCCTATCCTTATGTTTGCAAATGTAAATTAGTCTTAAATATTTTGTCCACCTGTCTGCTGGCATGTTGATCCCAATCTGAAAAAAACAAGGAATTACTTCTGCATTTTACCTGTTTGCCCTTAGACACGCTTCCTCTGAAGCCCTTTGAAAGAGCCATGCTGCCATGTTGGAATATTGAATGAGCGAGTGAGTGAATGAGTTCAGTTTTACGACGCTGTAGAACACATAGACATTAGCCCTGTCATCCCTGATGTGATCTATCTATACCTGATATTCAGGCCCAAGCCTACATCAAACGACAATAAAAATTAACAATTTGAATAAAAATAATTCCAAATTTATCAGTATTTACAAAATTAAGAACATTAAAATAATCCAATTTTGGACAATGTCACAATAGTTTTTCCTATGTGCCAACCCAAGGCAATTAGTTTGGGATCCCTTATAAATCCTTTCTTGTTCAGAACAGGTGATGGAAAAAGTGAATGAATAAATACACAGAGATGGGAATAGGGAACTCCAGAAGGAATAAAGAAAGGAATACTGTTAATCTTAGCACAAGCAGAGCACTGTAAGGTAGCAGCGATAATTTTGTTTCATGTTCCCAAAGATGATAGCGGGCTGTTATGAACAGCCTTGTTGTTGAGCGCATAACAACTAACAATCAGCCTGGAGCTTAAATATAAGCGTTATCATTGCCTCAAGTGTTTTACAGATGGTAAAGGAAGTGAAGTAGCACCACTGGCCTGGTATGTTTCTTACACTCAATGTAAGGCAGCCTTCATCTCTCAATACTGTCATTCTGTTCTGAACACGCCTGATTTCATCCTGTTTCTTCCTCACACTACGCAGTCTTATCAATAGCTTTGTCGGTTCCATTCTGTTTCCTTGATAACCACATTGACAATTCCTCCAACGGAACTATCGTTTTTACGTGATGGAGATAAAGCCTCTGAATAATGATTTGTTGCAAAGCATTATGGGGAAAAGAAAAACGGTTAAGTATAGTTTAGGTGGTAAAATGGATTCCGATGAAGGCGAATAGCTGTAGAAATGCCACCCTATTGCTGTTTTGATGCCAGACAACAACGGTGATGCTTTCATCTAAATGGCAGTATGATTGTCAGGTGACGGAATACACTGGGGGGATTCTATAAATGTTCCCCGATATGCCTCCATCCGATTTGTGGTCAGAAGTCATTCATCTGCCCTTCTACCTTTGCAATGGTTCTGGCTTTTCCTGATTTGTTACATGATATGAGAGCTGGGTTTTGGGAAAAGAGAAGGGGAACAATAGAATGAGAGCTGGGGAAAAGGGGGAATAGGGAGTGAAAGAAGGGGGAACAACAGAATGAGAGATGGGGGAGAAAAGGGTGAAAGGTGAATGAGAGAAGGGAAAACAGGACAAAGGAGTGTGAGAATGGGAACAAAGGAGTGAGAGAAGGGGGAACATGGAAGTGAGAGAAGGGAAAACAGGACAAAGGAGTGTGAGAATGGGAACATTGGAGTGAGAGAAGGGGAACATGGAAATGAGAGAAGGGAAAACAGGACAAAGGAGTGTGAGAATGGGAACATTGGAGTGAGAGAAGGGGGAACATGGAAGTGAGAGAAGGGAAAACAGGACAAAGGAGTGTGAGAATGGGAACATTGGAGTGAGAGAAGGGGAAAAAGGAGTGAGAAAAGGGGACAAAGGAGTGAGAGAAGGGGAACAAAGTAGTGAGAGAAGGGGAACAAAGGAGTGAGAGAAGGGAGAACAAAGGAGGAGAGGTGGAACAAGGGAGTGGGAGAAGGGAGAACAAAGGAGGGAGGGGAACAAGGGCGTGAGAGACAGGGGAACAAAGGAGTGAGAGAAGAGGGAACAAAGTCAGAGAAGGGAAACAGAGTGAGACAACAAAGGAGTGAGAAAAGGGGGAACAAAGGAGTTAGAGAAGGGAGAAGAAAGGAGAGAGGGGAACAAGTGAGTGGGAGACAGGGGAACAAAGGAGGGAGAGAAGGGGAACAAAGGAGTGAGAAAAGAGGGAACAAAGTGAGAAAAGGGAAACAGGGAGTGAGAGAAGGAGGAACAAGGGACTGAGAAAAGGGGGAACAAAGGAGGAGAAAAGGAGGAACAAGGGACTGAGAGGAGGGAACAAGGGAGGAAGAGAAGGGAACAAAGGAGTAAGAGAAGGAAGAACAAGGGAATGAGAGAAGGGAACAAGGGAGTGAGAGAAGGGGGAACAAAGAAGAGAAGGAGAATGAAAGATGGGAGAGGAAGAACAAAGGAGGAGAAATGGGAACTAAGGAGGAGAGAAGAGGCCTGGAGGAGGGATACCACAAAGGCAGAGGGAAAGAGAGATGGTAGAGCCATTTGCGGTAGATGCCTTCCAGATGCCAGGTATCGCACACCATGCTCAGTGTGAGATTGATCTGAGCTGTATTATTACCACAAAATATGTTCTATGTGTTCATGGAACTGCGTGCAAGTTTAGTTTACTGTTGATAGTCTATTCCAAGTGAAAGGCTTTCCTTTCATTACAATGTTAATTCAATCCCTGCAGTTCAAGTAGTGGTATATGGAAATTTGCAATCATGTCATCGCATAAAAAGACATATTTATCTTTCTTAATCGATTTGCAATCATTCTTTGTGTTTATTGCCTTAACGGGGGTATTAATCTGAAAAATTATACATAATTTTGTTTGAAGGAAATCTTGTTTGTAGACCAATATATGAAAAAGACTAAACGACCCTGTAACATATATTTGTATTATGTTTGCTGGGAGAGACAGAAGTTGTAAATAGACAGTAAAATCCAACTCATTCTGTACAGGTATTAATGGGCAAAATATGAAATTAGTTGTAGGAAGATCACACATTTAGTTTTCATTCACAAATTGTAAGGTAGGCTGATCTGTAATGTTAAAAAATGGATGTCCTGTCCTAATAAAATAAGATAAAATATATACTGAGAGAAACAAATAAAGGATCACAGGAAAATGCAAGCATTCCTTTAATATTTTCCACTTTTCATCACCAGCTTTGAAAGGCACTGTGGTGATGAAAACAGGAAAATAATAAAGAAATACTTGAATTTTCCTGTGATCCTTTATTTGTTTCTCTCAGTATATTTTATTGCGCAAACGTACCATGTAGAAACAGTGACAATATTCTATAAACTACATAAACGAGATATATAATGAATCAGAGTAACAATACATATACTAAAACAAATATGTATACTGGCCTCGGACAATACAGAGATTGTGTGTAATAGTGTGTATTAGGGATATGAGCCCATAACGCCCTCTCCTAACAGGGTGAGCATGACGATTTGCATATGAACATTCAATACCTGAATGACAAGACGGTAACAGTATCTCCGCTAATAAAAGCTGTATCCCAGGGTACTCGTCTGACAAGTTAATGAGAGAGAAAATCAGTTCACACTAATTACTTCATTGCAGTTGGTGTTGATTAACTGTCATGCCGGGCCCACCTCTCCCCGTATCCTCTAGACATGGTATATATGCTACAGGTATTAGTTACATGATGGTGGTGTAATTAGTGAGCTACAGCAGGTTAAACACATGCTGGTATACACATCACTTTCATCATGTACAGAAGATGTGCATCTCTTCTCTAGACCTTAAAATATAATTGTTCCTTTTACATTGTGTATAGTTTTTCTTCTCCTTCTCTCCACCTCGAGTCTGTCATACAGACCCTGAAACAAATATATCCAAGAAAACCCATGCAAATCTAGAATATGTGGTAAGTCTAGATTTCCACAGTTTCAGGGAATGATGAATGTCTCAGGGCTTCTTTTCATTTTATTTCATGATTATTATTTATGAACCTTTTTTTTCTGTAAACTATGTTCATTTCAGAGACTTGATGTTAGTCTACCCCAACTCCTTCTTGTCCCCATCTCCTGTTTCTTCTACTTTTATTCTGTCTCCTCCTGTTTTGTCTTCTACTTCTCCATCTCCTGTTTTGTCTTCTACTTCTCCATCTTCTCCTGTTTTGTCTTCTACTCCATCTTCTCCTGTTTTGTCTTCTACTTCTCCATCTTCTCCTGTTTTGTCTTCTACTTCTCCATCTTCTCCTGTTTTGTCTTCTACTTCTCCATCTTCTCCTGTTTTGTCTTCTACTCCATCTTCTCCTGTTTTGTCTTCTACTTCTCCATCTTCTCCTGTTTTGTCTTCTACTTCTCCATCTTCTCCTGTTTTGTCTTCCACTTCTCGGTCTTCTCCTGTTTTGTCTTCTACTTCTCCATCTCCTGTTTTGTCTTCTACTTCTCCATCTTCTCCTGTTTTGTCTTCTACTTCTCCATCTTCTCCTGTTTTGTCTTCTACTTCTCCATCTTCTCCTGTTTTGTCTTCTACTCCATCTTCTCCTGTTTTGTCTTCTACTTCTCCATCTTCTCCTGTTTTGTCTTCTACTTCTCCATCTTCTCCTGTTTTGTCTTCCACTTCTTGGTCTTCTCCTGTTTTGTCTTCTACTTCTCCATCTCCTGTTTTGTCTTCTACTTCTCCATCTTCTCCTGTTTTGTCTTCTACTTCTCCATCTTCTCCTGTTTTATCTTCTACTTCTCCATCTTCTCCTGTTTTGTCTTCTACTTCTCCATCTCCTGTTTTGTCTTCTACTTCTCCATCTCCTGTTTTATCTTCTACTTCTCCATCTTCTGTTTTGTCTTCTACTTCTCCATCTTCTGTTTTGTCTTCTACTTCTCCATTTTCTCCTGTTTTGTCTTCTACTTCTCCATTTTCTCCTGTTTTGTCTTCTACTTCTCCATCTTCTCCTGTTTTGTCTTCTACTTCTCCATCTTCTCCTGTTTTATCTTCTTCTTCTCCATCTTCTCCTGTTTTATCTTCTACTTCTCCATCTCCTGTTTTGTCTTCTACTTCTCCATCTCCTGTTTTGTCTTCTACGTCTCCATCTTCTCCTGTTTTGTCTTCTACTTCTCCATCTTCTGTTTTGTCTTCTACTTCTCTATCTTCTGTTTCTTCATCCTTTCCTCATGCTTTTCTTGTTGTTCAACTTCTACATCTTCTCATCCTTGTTCTCCCTCTTCCTCCTGTTTATTCTACTTCTATTCCTTCTTCACATTGACATCCTTCTCCCCTCCTCTCTTCCTTCTCATCCACTCTTTCTTCTTTTCTTCCCTTTTTTACATTCTTTCCCTCCATAATCTCCTTATCTTCCCAGTGCTTCTCATTTATCCTCCTACTTTTCCACCCTCAGTTTCTTCCTTTTGTACAGGGGCGGTGGGGTAGCCTAATGGTTAAAGCGTTGACTTGTCACGCCGAAGACCCGGGTTCGGATCCCCACATGGGTACAATGTGTGAAGCCCATTTCTGGTGTCCCCCGCCGTGATATTGCTGGAATATTGCTAAAAGCGGTGTAAAACCAAACTCAGTCAGTCAGTCAGTCCTTTTGTACACCAGACTTGTGTTTCTTGTTTCCAAAACTAGCTAACTTTAAATAAACTGAACATGTATTATGAATATGACCCCATAAAGTTCTGTGGTTCACAGTGCAGTTTAACACCGTTATATTTTTTTAAGAATTGTCAGTAGTTAAAGGAGAAAAAAGTGTTAGTACTTAAATATCTAAACTGCAAAGAAAGATAACTTTATCACATTCATTCAGTGATGTTTTACCAAGTGTCTTGGCACTTAAACTTTGTGTTGAAAGAAGACCCAGCTAGGTCAGCCTTCAAGCACCGGAGAAATGGCGCTACTAAAAATAATTTGAACTGATGTCCAAATGATGCTAATCCTGAAGCCATACTTACGACCAGATGTGTCTAAAGATGTGAACTGGGTTCCAAGGTCTTGGTAATATTCGAGATTTAGAAAATGTGAATGCAATTTAGTTATCTTTGTCTTTAACAACACAGGTCTTTTCATTGTGAAGTGGATCCGGCTAAGATAACACAGGAAGACAGTGTGGGCTAGTCACTGACTTGTAGGCTCTCAAAATCTCTTCACTGGCAATCTGTCTAATTGAAAACACATGACTCTGGGGGCATATTTCAACTTCTTGTGCCTTCAGTCAGGGGACTGGCTTTGAAGGATGGTCTTGTCCCAAACGTTGGGAAGTCCTTATTTATTCATAAAATATTTTATGGAGCATTTTCTGACTTGAGACGAATTTGAAATGATCATTCTCAGACATCTGTGGCAGAAATGTGTTCAAGGTATTCATTGATATTTATAGATTCACTCTAGCAAGTTCACATGGTTTAAGTGTGATATAAGTGTGGTTTACGTGTTTAAGAATACTTATGATCCAACTGTGATCTTGCTGAAAGCCAATTTTCTGTGCGATTGGCAACATCAGCCAGATATATAGAAAGTTTGTTTCCTCCCTTTTCATTTAAATTGATATTACTTTTAGGGATTTTCATGGGAATTGTGAGTTATTGTGTTTCATCAAACTCAATGACAAAGAATGCTCATACCTTCGACCACTAGTTTTCACCACCACTGTGGTATAACTGCAATATTGGATTGTTACTTTAAGCCACATTTACTTAGATTTGGAATGCAGTGTTATCTTCGTTATCACACACAGCACCCGTTTCGAATTCTGGTGAAACGTAAACTCTGCAATTTGTTTCCAGAGGAATAGCGCAGTTGAACATTTAACTGCAAATACATCTGTAAGACTAGTGATAATAGACACATGAGTCGAGAGTAATTAAATTTTCTGTTATCACCAGATAGCAAATATTCAGCATATTGCTATGAAGGTCCCAGCATGCAGCTGTGTGGAGGGAGGTCATAATGGTTGTATCACACACAGTAAGATGGTGGAAGCGTTGGCAGGGATAGTTATATCTTTTACCATTCCTGCTGATATGAACAAAATCTATTTGATGTGAGCACTTGAAACTCACCTAACTATCTAAATGTATTTAGTTTTTTCTTTGTGATTGCATGACCCAGATGCTTCCACCAGTATTTCCAACCTTTTTCTATATGCTTGTATTTCATTCTAGGGAGCCAAAAACAGCAAGTGAGTGACTAAGGTTTTAGCCCCTTTTAGCAATACTTCAGCAATATTATGGCACCATAAATGGGTTTCACACATTGTACCTATGCGGAAAATTGAACCCAGGCTTCGGCATGATGAGCGAATGCTTTAACCACTCAGCTACTCCACCCCCCTCCGAAAGCAGTGATATTTTATTCAGGTGGCAAAATATAGAGAGTTGCATCCCTTAGCCATTTAGGATCTGCTGAGCAAGGTTTTGTGTCACCTAAATCACCATTGAATATTGTTCCCAGGAGTGGTAAGTGCCTATGGTTTTCAGGAACTTCCCTCCTACATTAAACAGACAAAGTGAGTGTAAGCATAAAGTCGGAAGAAAGGAGTGTCTGAAAATTAAATAGTAATGTTAACATCTGTGCTTTACCAGCTTTATCAATTCAATATGGCCGCCTGGCTGATACCTTTCGAGGACACTTTGTATTCATGGCAGTAATTGATAATGAGATTACAAGCATGGGTGGTCATGCTGAAGTGAAACAGGCTTGCAGTTGTTATACAGCAGCAGCATAATTCATTATCTAATTCAACTTTGATTGGTTGATATCTTTTTTTATCATCAGACAGACAGGAAGTGGTCACAGGAAGACAGTTTTCATGGAAACATGATGCAGCTAATTCCTAAAGGCTTGGGTTTACCAAGAACACTAACCAGACAGCCTGAGAGACATGCATGCACATGTTACATACACTTACAACTGCCTTTCATGTAGGGCTTGGCTCTAATTAGATCTGTCACAAACCAACAGAAGGAATGTGGATCTTGTAGGATGAGGCAGCCTATCATCTAGACTGGAAGTCCAGACAATGTTCTTCACACGGCCTTGCATAGAGGATGTGGAACGGAAGAGACTGGTAGAAAAACATCCATGTGCCCTTAATGTCCGTAAATCATTGTCTTTACAATGCATACATAGTGCAGCATTCCTACTCCAGAATCCGACTCTCATCAGAAAGTATTGCAGGCTCTTCCATAGACTAAGGCTTAGTCTCTGAATATATATAATTTTGATAGTAACAAACAAGCCCATTTATATTGAAATGGAGCCCTAGGGAGACCAGAGATTCAGAACCTGAGGAAATCTAGACTTGCTTTATTTAGGGCTTTAGCACTGCAGAGAGGGCTTGGCAGTAGGGAAAGTTATGTGGTTCAGGGACTGTGAGACAGACTAGCTCTTCCACTATCATGGCTGGTTGGAAGATAGTCTAGCGGGTTCAGTGTTTGCTTGATACACAGGAGACCCTGGTTTGAATTCAAGCATGGTGTAGAGCAGTAATCCTCTACAGCCACACCATGAAGTATTCCAGGAACTCTTCCTATTGTGGCTGAAGGGCACCTTGGTGGTTTAAGCATTAGCTTGTTACACTGAAAACCCTGGATTGAGTCCCAACATGGGTGCAACGGGCAGTAATACTCTGCTCCCACAAATTGGTATAAAACTCACTCACTTATTCTGGCTGGATGAGCTGTTCTTCATGTCAGTGGTCACCTACTTGACAGGCAGTGTTGTATGTTTGTACAGTTGATGGAAAACCTCTCACATTTATTTCAGTCTATTTTGTTCCTGGGATTTTTTTTTACATCAGTAAAGACAAACAACTTGAAGGCAACTTATTACTTCAGCATGGTTCCTTGAAGAATTGCACAACTGTTGGTACTGTCCAAGTCTTATGATATTTTTGTTTTGATATTTCCTACATAGGGAAATATCAGCTGACCAAGGCCCAATTCCACAAAACATTTATCTTGTCACTCAAACAATTTTATCTTGCCACTCAAACAAGTAAATATTGTCGCTCAAACAATTTTATATTGTCACTCAAACAGTTTTATCTTGTCACTCAAACAATTTTATCTTGCCACTCAAACAATTTTATCTTGCCACTCAAACACTTTTATCTTGTCACTCAAACAATTTTGTGTTGTCACTCAAACAGTTTTATCTTGCCACCCAAATAATTTTATATCGTCACTCAAACAGTTTTATCTTGCCACTCAAATAATTTATATTTTCACTCAAACAGTTTTATCTTGTCACTCAAACAATTTTACCTCCCATACATTAACACAGACTAACGCTAATCACTGCACTAGGATCACTTTGTGGATCAGGCTCCACTTTGCACCACAACTATCGCAAGTCTTAGAGTATGGAAGTTATGATCATCATAGCGCGCTAAGCTCACTTTGTGCAAGTGGGCCTTTGGCCCTCGTTAGATTGGGATTACTGTCCACATCAAACTGACATACTGAGCTATGGACTGAAACACTGCCAAAGACGTTAAACCTAAGTGAAACATTGTTTGGCAACAGGTTCATAATATTTAAAGACTAATGCTTAGTCTCCAAAAATATGTTATTATGAAGGAACTAATAACCCCAC